GTGTGTGTGTGTGTGTGTGTGTGTGTGTGTGTGTGTGTGTGTGTGTGCGTGTGTGTGTGCGTGTGTGTGTGCGTGTGTGTGTGCGTGCGTGCGTGTCAGCTGTAGAAATGCGATGAGTCACAAAGACAAACCAACAGACGGCTCAGAGCTCTCTTTGACCTTGATGATGATTCTGTGCTTTCGTCAAAAACAACACAAAAAAAAATCCCGGGATGATGTGTGTGATGTTGTGTGCTCTCCTCTGTGACACGTGGACTACATTACGTTCTGTGCACGACGCTCTCAGCAGGCGCTCGTATCTAGAGAGGCAATTAGAGGAAGCGATGAAGCTCAGTGCGTCACTCAAATGACAAGAATGCAGGTTTTAAAGGTGCAGAGACAGAATCACATCAGTTTATCAGGGAGCAGATTGAACTGTTGAATTTAGGTTCTTGAGATCGGCAACATCGCAAGAAACCATTAATCATTATAACATCCACATGATGATCAATATCACTGACTGTTAAAATGATTGTTTCTTGTCAATGGGGTCTGGTGCCGATGAAGAGAGCTTCAGATAATGGCTTCAGTTCTCACATTAGAAAGTTTTGACTTTTTCTCAAGAGTGTAGGAGGATGATAAAGTTCTCCACTATTGGTCCAAACATTAAATTGTTCATAGATATAAAATATCGATTCCAACTTCCGACGCGAGGATTTGCTTCATATGATTGTAAATTAAATATCTTTGTGTTTTTGGACTGTTGGTTGGACAAACAAGTGATTTGAAGACATCCATTTAGGCTCTAGGACATTTCTGATCAGCTGTTTTTACTGTTTTCACACATTGAATCCATTAATTGTAAAAGATAGTTGAAGGATTAATCTAACGGTGAGTTTCAGCCCAAGATAAATGCGCTGCTTGAGGCTGAACTTAAAGAAATCCGACGAGGGTGCAGTGCACCGTGTATGCGGTGTGTTTAGTTGTGTTGTGGAGGAACTATTTGAGTGTTAGGGGCGTACTGAATGTCCAGATCGTTCATTATAACCTGTGCTGGTGTCCAGTTAAAAACATTTCAACTTCTGACCCCCTTTTTCCTTTCCGTCTCCGTCTCCCAGCTCTGTTCAGGGAGTTCGGCGGCGCCCGCTGCGTTCACAACATCGTGAAGTACCGTCAGTGTCGGGAACACGCCCTGCTCATCATCCAGCAGCTCGTCCTGTCGCCCAGCGGAGACGACGACATGGGGACGCTGCTGGGCCTCATGCACTCTGCACCGTCCAGTGAGCTGCAGCTGAAGACCGACATACTGCGGGTAACAGCGCAACACACACACACACTGTCTCTGTCCGACACACTCAATCATTCCAACGTTTTTAATTTATTCATTTAATCTCAGTGTGTTGTATTAATGTCAGGTGGCGCTCGTAATCAATTTTGAATGTCTTTTTACTGATTAGTTTAAGGGGAACTTTGGTGTTTTTTTTAAACCTGGAGCCTCTTTACACGTGTTTTAGTGACTAATGGGTGTTATGGACTCATAACGTCTCTTTATCTTTCGCTTTATGTTTGTTATTGTGTCGTGTGACTTGTTGTACAGAAAGAGTGGCTTAGTGTACGATTTTAAATGTCACGGCTGAATATTTAGATGGTATTGACAACATGGACGAGGCCGTTAGATATTTAGAAAGAGACTCAGAGCGAGACACACGATAACAAACGGACCAGAGGAAGTGAAAGGTAAAGAAAAATGTTTTATTCTTCTGTTAATGTTGTCAGAAACCTAAAAGTAACAAGTGGTAAAAACAAGCAATTTTAGTGGACGTACATTGACGGTGAGGGAATTACATTACAGCCAGTTTAGTGTTACATTCTCCCTCAATACTGGACCAATACTTCTTACTTGAAACTTATTCTAGAAACATACAACTACTTTGATTTTAAAGAATTTGTCAACTCAAATACGAGGATTTGTAGCTAAGAAGGAGTTCAAAAAGAAACCAACAAATCCTTCAGCCTCAGTGAGAACAACACAGTGAGGAGAGGAAAAGTATATCATTTTAAAAATCAATATGCATTTGAAGCCCTGCATACAGTAATTGCTTCAAACCTTGGGTGATAATTGTAAGGTGCACATAAAAGCATATACACACACACAGGGTTAGACGGTGGCGGCTCATTTTCTGGAGCATAATTGCATTTTTAAATTCCACTCCTCCAGACGATGTGATTCTCACGCCTTCTGAAGGCTTCGGCAGGATTAACCCGTCAGCACTTTGCTCCCCAATGTCACCAATCAAAGATTTCAATTACCAGCCTCAAAAAAAAGACTGCAAAGAACTTAAATCAAATCCAGTTTGAATAAAAATCATTTTTTCCTCGCTCGTCATCAGGGTTTATGTACCGTCGACAGTAGCACACTGCAGACACACAAACAGATGTTGAAGCTAAGCTGATTAGCCTTGTAAAAGTGCACATCTAACCCTGTAATCTCTGTCAGACCCTCATGTGTGGAGTCTAATCCCTGAGGCCTCCGTACGGCTGGTAAAGCACCCAAAACCTACACTTTACCAGCACATAGCCTGCTGGTATTCTCCCAGCTGGGAGGACAGGAAGAGGATGTATTCAACATCCTGTGATTGGTTTAAAACAACAAGAAACGCTGTGCTGAGTCAGGCAGAATTTGAATGCAGCAGGAAACAGCTGGCTCAGCTGTGCAGCATCTCACAGTTTTTACTTCTCCTTTATTCCTTCTTCCTCCACTGGGATGCGTCATTATATCTGAATAGAGTGTGTCGGTTTAATGAACGATTTCAATGTAGAAGTAGGCAAAAGGGAAAGAAATCGAGGGTATAGTTATAAGGTCATATGGTGATGTCAATATAATCATGATATGGACAATTTGGCCAATTAGTTATAAATCTTGTTCATTATCGACCCTAGAAATGCTACTTTGCAAAAATAATCCCAACTCAGGGTCTAGTTCCTAGCTTAATTCAGAGCTTCCTAAGTTTCAAGCTTTAAAAAAAAAAAAATAATGTTTTAATGGCGGAGAGAGAGACTTATGACATGCAACCAACGTCCCATGGCGGACTCGAGCCCGGGACCTTGCAGTTATATGTCATGTAACCACTTTGCTAACAAGGCGCTCTGTTCATTTTTGTTGTTGACAAATTGTTTATTGAGGTAAAAGAACCGACAGGCGTCTGTTTCCTGTCAAATACCTGACAAATCATCACAATGGTTCAAAAAATGCAGCAAGAATACCAATATTTTTGTAGGATTTGAAGGACAAACAGTCTTGACACTGGTATTACTGACTTTACCCACGTTGGCCCAGACACCTAGTACTTATACTTCCTGTACTTGTAGCATATTAAACTGACATCCTGAAGTTTGTGTTCACCAAATTACAAAACAAATGTTCTCATTAACTCCTCGTGGTGTGTAGATGTGCTATTAGTCTGGTTTTATTCGTCTCTGAGGTTTATGTTGCCACTTCAACACAGAGGAGGTCAAGGATGATTTTATTGGCACTTAAAATTCATCAGCAACACTGCTCCCATAATGCCACAGACCTTTCTGTCGACAGATTTCATTTGAACTTTCTTTTCCTGAAGAAATAGTCCTCATTAAAACTGTTTACCATAAATAAGCCTGCATCTATACAACCACAGCAGCACAATCAGATTGTCCCCTCACTTTATTAGGGTGATAATGTCATTAAATATGATTATACGGTTCCTTCTTTGTCGTATTTGTGCAGCTTTAGCAGCATCAAAAGCTGCGCACTCTTCTTGTGAATTCCCTCCTGAGGTTTTCGGACTGTACCAATGTTCTTCTGATGGTTATCTGGGCTTATGTACATGTTGAGATATTATAACTATCCAGTCATACAATCTGTTTTTGTCCCATCATTCCAACAAGAGAAGTTTGAAAGATATTCCTCCAGACGCAGGATTTAAAATAGCTAAGAAGTAAAACGCCCCCAGCGGTGGTGATCCCTGACGTGTGCCGACTCTGCACTTCACACAAAGCTCCTCCCGTCTCCGGTCCCAGGCGCCGCTAATTAAAAACTCTGCCTGTCAAAAGTGGTTCCTGTGCTCTCAGGCTGTTTTTTTTAGGTCCCCAAAACTCATATCTAGGTTACGGTTTGATGTTTCAGTTTAGATTCACTCGCAAACGCAAATCATAAAAATTGGAATAATGTCGTGAAGAGAGGGAGAGAAAATCCAGTCAGCGATGAGAGACAAAGAAATTCCCAGAGGGGCTCATAAATATGTCTCGACGCAGAAGAAGAATGAACCGAGGTGTGACTGAATGTGGCGACAAAAACCAAATGATTAAAACTCAACACGGGGAGAATAACTTAGTAACTATGTAAAATAAGCAAGAGACAATGCAGAGAAGGTGAAACAGAGGATGTGACATCTTCAGCATAAATGATATCAACCCAGAACATGTAACGTCTTTGTAAACAGCTCATTATGTTTGTGAAGTAAAGAAGTTGAACTGTATAAATCTCATCTACTTCCTCTTCCAGGCTTTGTTAGCGGTGCTGCGCGAGAGCCACCGGACCCGGACGGTGTTCCGCAAGGTGGGCGGCTTCGTCTACCTCACGTCCCTGCTGGTGGCCATGGAGCGCTCGCTGTGCCAGCCGCCGCGGCACGGCTGGGAGCGCGTCAACCAGAACCAGGTCTTCGAGCTTCTGCACACCGTGTTCTGCACGCTCACCGCCGCCATGCGCTACGAGCCCGCCAACTCGCACTTCTTCCGCACGGAGATCCAGTACGAGAAGCTGGCCGACGCCGTGAGGTAAAGACGGCCGATTTTAAACGTGGCAACTGGTCACAAAAAAAAGTGACGGTTATGTTGGAGCTCTTTTCTCATTTCAGAATGGAAGATATTGTTTGATTTAACAGCACTGAAAGGAGTTCTTGGCCACATGCTTTGACTTGATTGGCAGATGAGAGGCGGTGCAAATTCAAACTAGAGAACCAATCAAAAATGACGCTCATAATTTGAAATTACCAGAAAATGGAGCCTGTCTGGACGTAGAGACGGCTCCTTGTAAACCATCCTAACATCCCATCATCCTACGGTGTTGGACTCAAATTTGTCTTCCTGCACGTCGAAAGGATGCAAAGCAACAGAATGAATGTTATATTCTCCATAGAAGCTCAAGGCGCGGCAGTAGCTGTTGCCAGGTTGCCTTTTGGCAGACATTTTGAGAAATTGGCAACCATATCTTGGCCTTTGGTTGCCATCAGTGGCAACCACTTTTTAGCGTTTAAAAAAATAGAGACAGCAAACAGCAAAACCAACATTTTGAAATCAGAAAAATTTAACTTTTTATCGAATTAATATTTGAATTCTATTCAGATTTTGTTTTGTGGACCACTGCGCCAAAATAGATAGTTAGATACTTCATCCCCAGGGGGACATTTGTTTGTAATAATATTTGTAAATAGTTGAAGTCCAGTGCAGATTGGGCTTTATTTATTAATACTTTACTACCAGACTAATGCAGCATAGAGGCACCATAACGTATGAAAAACCTCCAAAATGGCCGAAGTTGTTGCTACTTTTCTTGCGAAGGGAAAAACTGTTTTGACTTTAGTTGTTCTCTGCTTTCTGTAGCGTCATGTGATGTTATCGCCTCATCTTTGAAAGCAAAGCGTCCTCGTGATAAGCACTTTGTCTCCCTGCCACCAGGCTGCTGGGCTGTTTCTCCGACACCAAGAAGCTCGGTCCCACGGGCGTCTTCCCCTCCAACGCTCAGCCTTTCCAGAGGCTGCTGGAGGACGAGGCCGCGCCCGGAGGCTGCGCGGGGGACAGCGTCTGCCCCACGCTCAAACACTGCAGCAAGCTCTTCATCTACCTTTACAAGATGGCCACCGACTCTTTTGACAGGTCAGAGGATTACAGTACACGCCGGATTTCAACCAGTTTATGTCGCACAAAGTGTGAGATTCTGTTCTGCAGATAATAAATGACCATGTCTCTAAAGTAGTGTTGTCCTAGAGCTAAATGCCAAAATGTAGAGTGTGAATTCACTCTCCTCTGTTCACCAACATCCAGCAGATATCTTGTGTTTTTACTGAGTTAGGAGACTTGCAGTAATATATTGCACCATAAATCAGCTCAAATGCATGTCTTTGCCTGTAGTCAGGCCATTGAGCTACTAAATAGATAACACCGTCAACGCATTATTCATATATTTACTGTTTAAATAAGTCAACAGTGTAATGAGTACTCGTCATACTGAATGAGTTATTGTGTGAGAGAGGGTCAGTGGGTTCTCCAGGAACCTCCGGTTGGAGTTCAGCAGATTGCAGCCGCATGTTCTGAAGTAGAACAAGAACCTCACGTTTTTTTCCACACGCCCGTAAAATGTTCTCCATGAAACGTGTGTTGTCCTCACGAGGGATCCACGTGTTGTGTTTGGCCTCCTTAAGAGAACCCTCAAGGAACATTCATCCAGTTTATTGTAGTCCTGAGCAGAGTTATTGTTTGAAGAACAGTGTTTTCAGGTGACCTACAAAAACTGAAGCAGACATACTGGAGCAAGTGACAAATGGTCATTTTTACCTACAGAAGATGGAGTTTAGAGAAACAGACAGGAGAACCAACACGGGAGCAAAGTAATGTACTGCTGATGTATTTTACACACCTAAAATAATCAATATCAGTCTAATTGTACGCTACATTTAGAATATATTCACCGCTTCAGCTTGCTATCAGACAGCCCTTTGTGACGGGGAACTGAAGCCGTCATCTATGCTCTCTTTAAAGCCACCAGGCTCCATTGACAAACGCTTAACAACACAAACAAGCTAACCGATGGAGGCGGCGTAGACCAGAAACTTTCACGTTCTGCAATGTAAAATTACAGTTTTTATCAAAGGCGTCTTGTGGCGCTGGAGAGAGAACAGATGGATATAACAGCTGCTGTCTGACAGCACGCTTAAGCAGTGAAAACTCTAAATACAGCGTACACTTAAACGTCTAAAATACGTTTCGCTTGCTTTGCTCCCATGCTGGTCCTCCTGTAGATTATTTGTGACACAAGGTTTAAATTTACTGCATCTTATTGCAGCATTATTCTCAGCTACAGTGACGATCCATCCCAAAATGTGACTTATTACCAATATAGTGCTAAAGCAGACAAAGATGCCTGTGAATCCCGCTTCAAAAACCTTTTTATATATATACAGGTTCCCTTTGTAGGTTCAGATCAGTCAGCAGCAGGTCCACAGCTGTGTTCAGCCTCGTGGTCGCTGCTCTCACTCAGTCGACCTCTTCATCGGAGACACGCATGGCTCAACCGTAGAAGAGATTTAATACGGACGCTTCACTGTGGTTCAGATTCTGCCGCACAGCCTGGTGGTGCTGTCATGACGGCAGAATGAGTGATATTTAGAAATGCATTACTACTGTGATCAAAGACGCACCTCAACACCACGTGTGTGTAGCTCTATCTGCATGTTCTCCAGCTGTAGCTCTGATCCTGTTTCTCCTTTCAGCTTTCCACTAACAGCTTCTTTCCCTCTGTCCTTCTTTCTTTCTTTCTCTTCCTCTAACCTCTGGTGCTGTCTGGCTGTTCATCCTCGGCCTGGTCCATCTGCGCGGCTGCGTGTGTGTGTGCGTGTGTGTGCGCGCAGTCGTGCGGAGCAGGTGCCTCCCTGCCTGACTCATGAGACCTCGCTGCCCTCGCCGTGGGGCACGCCAGCACTCGCCAGGAAGAGGTAGCTACAGCGCTCTGCCATTTTCCTCACCCTCACCCCTCACCTCACCTTCAGTCGCCACTGAGAGCGCCCACTAGTGGCCAAAGAATGATCGCCAACTGCTCCAACGATCACAAGAATCTTTTTCGCAAATCATGAAAATGTTGAGGAGAAAAAACTGCAAACTGTGTGTTTTGTGCGACCAACAGTCCAAACATTAAAGATTCAAACTACATGAAATAAGAGCTGAAACTATTAGTCAGTAGATTTATTAGTTGATCTACAAAACAATGAATCCCCCCCCCCCTCCAGATATGGAGATATAGATATGAAGAGCTCATTCTAAGCTAACAAACTATTCTTTGTCTCAGGTGATTATACAGGAATGAAGACGTAGTTATGAATATTATATTCCACTTCTGCTAATAGATCCCCCTAAATGCTACACACTGTGCCTTTAATTTAGATTGGCAGATTGATCAGTAATGAAAATCTTTAGTTGGAGCCTATAAATCATATAAAATCAGCAAATCCTTACATTTAAAAAAAAAAGCTGGGACCAAATTATGTCTTGCATTGTTGCTGATCACTTCAACGAAATAATGCATCTTCTGTTGATCAACTAGTTGATTAAGCGACTAGTTGGTTTCATCAACTATAAACTCTTCAACCTCAATTTGCTGTAAACTTAAAAAAGCTCAAATATATTCTCGATTGTGTTGATCTATTCTGCTTCCTAATACTACTGTGGTATCATATCATAGACTAAAGTGAAGGATCTTCTTCTTGTTTACTGTCGAACCACTTCTCCAGGAAACGTGAACAGAATCCGTTAAATTGCTCTCAGGCTGAAGAAGCCTTTTCCTTCTCATCACATTCCTCCTCCCGTTTCCTTTCTCCTCTCTTTCCTCTCAGCTGACGTTTCTCACACCTAAACCCAGACGCTCTCTTAGAATTTCATTTAAAAGGAAAAGAGAATGTACCCTGCCTCAGTGAGCTACAATGACTCTGAAGGTGAAGCTGCTGGTCTGGACCCGCTGCATATTCATGAGGAGGAATAATGTGACAATTATAGATAATTAAAGCTCTTCTTTGTGGACTTAATTGCTTTTTTAAAATAAAAACACAATTCCTACCTCGCTACCATCATTCAACACCCTAACATGTTACTTTGTGTGGATTATGAAACAGTTTTCTGTTCTCTAAATTATCTCGGCACTCAAAATGTGAGCAAAGCGTGACGCTAATTGCTCAGGATTTGCTTGGTTTGATTCAAATGAAAACATCTCCCGTGATTCAATCTCCGTCCAAACGATGCTCGGCGGCTCCTTGCTCGGCAGCAGCTTGCGACTTGCAAATTGCAGCAGTCAGTGTTGTGACGGTGACAAAGCCAGAGCTGTAGATTCCCAAGTTAAGATTTAAGTACAGTACCCAGGCTCTCGCGTATTGTATCATTTCCTGGAGTTATTTATGTATTTTTTTATTCTAACCAGTATGATGAGTCAGTTGGTACTGAGGAATAGACTTTATACAATGTATTTATGTATGTTATATAGAATCTAGACTCGATGCTCGTTGCCCTCCATTTGCTTTCTCAAGCAAATGGAGCTCCAGCAGTAATGAATTACTGCTGGAGCTCCTCACGTATTCCTCCACCAGCAGCCGATCACACGTCGGCTGCGTCTGTGGCTGCTGACGTTGTCCTCTCTTCCCTTGAAATGAAGAAGACAGAAATGTAGAGGTCCAGTTATACTGAAAACAAAACGACCGAAGAGGCTTCCAGCCACCGTGAACGTTAGTTTCCTGCCCCGCATACAACCCCTCCAGCACTTCATGCTGACTCCAGCCCTTTTCCAGCTCTGCGCCTCTCCTCGGGGGGGGATTTGCCGCTCTGTAATTTGCATCGCAGCAACAAGCCTTTTTGTCTAATTGGCCGACTGCGGGCCCCGGCAGATCTCCTGCTCTCGGCTCGGTGATTTAGATCAAACCGTCGCCGACTGACACCTCGATCTCTGACGTGTGAGGACTCGTGTTCTGTAAAGTTTGAGTCAAAGTGATTAATTGACGCCATTATTTCCGTCCTCATTGCGAGGATGCTTCCACCGAGCTTTGAACGTTTTCTGGGAAACGCTGTAAATCTGAATATTTAGCAGCCACAGTTGCATATTTTACAGTAAAGTCGGGCCTCTGAATAACTGTGGAGGCTTTGAGGGTAAACAGACTAGCAAGTGTTTTTATTCCACCACAGATTGAACTGAAAGGGATTTAATGTTCCTTTAATTATCATATTCTCATAACCATTATTAACGGGGATCAGCAGGGTTCACCGTGGCAGAACAAAAGTAATTATAAAATGATTGTGGTGTTACCGCGTCTTGCTCGACAAAAAGACCCCTAAAAATAAATATATTTGCGTTTTCTGGAAAGCACTTAATGGCCGACCTTTTTTTATAAATAACTCTGGTTTGACTCAACTGGACTGAACTAAATGTGAACTTCTCTCTCTCACTCTCTGTGCTCCCAGACAAGGCTACTACGGTACGTCGGGCCCCCCCGCTCCAGTCAAAGCCGTGACAGACCTGAAGCTCCACTTGGCCAACACATCCCACCCGGCTTTCTCCCCGTCTTCGTCTGACATGGTGGTCATCCACCCGGGGGCCATCCTGGCCATCCTGGACCTGCTGCCCTCCGTCTGCTCCGACAGCCAGCCGGAGGTGAGGAAACACGGGAAGGAAATGTGCTCACATGCGCTTCCTGTTAGAGTGGGTGAAGGGGTTACTTGCAGGGCAGGGATGTCAGACACCGGGGTTCTACAGACATGTGCATGTGTCTTTAAACTAAAATAATAATATTCTACATTTTTTTGGATAGTGAATTTAGAACTCTTTAGATAATCACTAACTAAATGGCTGAAAAAATTCAGGTAACTTCAACATATTTGCGTAACAATCCTGTAAATCAAACATGATAGTGAATACTGAAATCCTCTTTGTGTTTCCCCTCCAGCACGCTCTGGACCTGCAGCTGGCCGTGGCCAACATCCTCCAGCTGCTGGTGAACAGTGAGAGGAACCAGCAGGTGCTGTGTGAGGCCTGCCTCCACCAGCGGCTGTTGCAGCGCTGCAGTCAGGCCCTGGGCGATGAGGACCATCCGCTGCACCCGCCACTGCAGAGGATGTTCGAGAGGCTGGCTTCTCAGGCCCTGCAGCCGATGGCGCTCAGGTACTGGACCTGGCTAAGATTTGAACCTCTCTCTCATGTGGGTTACTACAACCCTTAAAGACATCCCTTTTTAATGGAGGTATTAAATCATGGCTGAAAGGGACCCAACATCGTTCTCACACCTTATTCCCCCGTAGACACACCTGCAGTGGGAATCTTGTGGACGTATTTTTGTGGATTTATTTATTTTCTTTCTTTTTTTTTGTTATTTTTAAAGCCTCCTCTGGACAGGTGTTGAAAATGAGCATTTTGATACAAACGCTAAACACCGTGCAGCTGGTCTTTGTGCATACATTTATTATACAGTCCTAATGCTACTCTGATGTCCATATTAAAATGAACTAATCTCAAGTTAATTACCATAAAATTACTTTCCCAGCTCCAGCAAAAAGAATACATAACATTTGGCCTGAAAGAAGCTTCGGTTATTACTTTTAACAAGTTGTAGTATAGGACAATTCTCTTTTTTTCGGGATTCAACAAAGATATTTGAAAAAAGAACAGTGAAGGATTCAAAATGTCAGCTTTACAAATGCTTTACGAGGTACAAAATAATTCACCACCTTTGTTTTGCTTCAAGAATTCACACGGTGTGTTTTTGTAACAATTCATGTAAAGATAACTTTTTTTTATTTACAAGAAAACTCACCTTCCCCCATTGTCGGCCTCTATTGTACTCTGAACGCTACTGTTAGCATGCTAATAGGATACTGCTAACATACATGTTAACGTGCATAAAAAAGGAACGTTAGCATGCTAATAGGAAACCGCAAACATACATGTTAACATGGATAAAAAAGGGACGTTAGCCTGTTGGCATTTACCCTTGCAACATTTAGCTTTTTAAGATTGCTAACGTTTAGTTCGAAATGTTAAATGGTAGCCCAGCAGCATGCTTTTATGTTGTTGTTTTTTAATATTCTTATTTTTGGGGGTGTTTTATGCCTTTTTTTTGCTAGTCGACAGCTGAGAGAGATGGGATTCATTGGCGAGAGAGATGGGAACTAAAGTTCTTCAGCCACTGGGGAACCGGCCCACTAATATGCTAATGTCAACATGTTTACAGTACAATATTTAGCATCTTGCTAGCATCTACACATTTAGCTTTCTGATGTGCTAACTTTTAGTTTTACCAAATGAGATATGCACAGAGGGGTTTTTGGTTTGAGAAGCGTAATCTGCTTTGACAGTGTGTGAAAGAAAGATGCTACATATGCAAACTAAACTGAGCCCTTCTCATTTTCCGCTTGACTAGTTAAGAGACATGGGAGATTGGGGTTTGAGGAAACGGGGGGGAAAGTTATTTGACGTGCACACGGTTGGCTCTTTTTATATGTAAATCCCTGGCTGATACCCCCCTCGTCATTGTGCTGGAGTTTAACATATCTGTAGCTGTCAATCTGTCTCCCCCCCTCCTCTCCTGTCTCTCTGCCTCAATCTTGTGCCGTCAGTCTTCCTCTTCCTTAATAATTCCTCTCCTCCTTCCTGCGTTTCTTTTTTTTCCTCTGCTGACATCAGCCCCAGCTAATCTCCAGAGTCGTTCTGTTTGGACTCATTCCAGCCGTCGGTGTCGCTCACTGACAGCTGACACCGACCGTCACTTTACATTCAAGTCAGCCTTATCATTGACTTCTAAACAGACTGAAACATGCCCTTAACCACAGCTGCTGAGGAGTAGGAGTCAACCTGTGATGTAGCTGATGACTGAACATAGTGCACACAGTTAGATGGAGGCTTTTATCCAGAGTCCTTCACAGCTCCGGAGAACATAGAGGACTCCTTATATCCAAATCACCTTATATCCAAAGTCACATAACACTCACACATGCATTTGGTTTCTCTTTCACTGTTTTGTTTCAGTGAGTGTGGTCAAGCTTAGTTTAAATCCTTCCACTTTAAAGCCACTGGAAATATCTTGATACAGGTGGATGTTGGGTTTGCTGTAACACAGTAATTAATGCAGTAAATGAGGGCTGATCAAATACTTTCACATAAATATGGTGAATTATACTCAAAAAGATTGTACGGTAACTAGGAAAGGTATAACCATAAAAATCTAGGGTTTCAACAGTTGTGGAATTCGTAAAAGGTGTTTGATTGAAAGTAAATATGAACCTAACCAACTATTAGAGATTGAAAACGCTTGGTGTTTAATTTTCATACACTAGTTAACATTTGGAGTAAAGTTTATCTTCCGTTCTGTTCGTGTGTGTTTGTGAATGGTCATATGAATTATGTTCTGGGTCCTTGAACAGTCATGTTTGAAATTTAGTTGATGAAGATGTGTTTGAACCCTGATAATCAAGAGTACAGAGGAACAGTAATATTATATTTGATTCCCCCTGTGTTTTTCTTCTTCATTGGTTGTATATTTAATCCCGACTTCCTGCTCCTCTTCCCCTCCAGGGAGTTCTTGCGTCTCGGAAACCCTCTAAACTGCGGCGCCTGGGACAAGAAGCTGCTGAAGCAGTACCGGGTCCACAAACCGAGCTCTCTGAGCTACGACGCCGAGATGAGAAGTAAGACGAGAACAGCTCTCATCACACGATACGTCACGACACTGTGCCGGGGGGGGGGTCTCTGAGGAAACGCTGGTCCTGGTGCTGTTTATCATACCTGTTCAAAAAAGATTGACTGAGGGGCCGTAACAGCCAGGGGCCACTTCAAGGGACATCTCAATTGTTCTATAAATTAGTTTAATGCCATATAAAGTATTCAGTTTTGAAATGAATATTGTCAAAGCGGCTTTTTACAAGCATTTACCTTAACTATTGGTTAATTGCTGAATAAAAGTCAGACAATTTTATGTTATAAACGGTAAAAAAGGCAGTTTTTTTATTTTAAATGGTGCATTATAGAATTCCTGCTTTAACACATTTTCTAGTGAATAAAATAAACAGTGTAGATTCCGTACAAACCAAGAATTTAGGGACCAAACATTGAATCTGTGGGTGAAGTGTCTTTACAAGTCAACCTCTCAGTTTTTAACAGCCCAGAATTAAGGAGTTTAGTCCACAGCGGTCCTCCAGTACGTCTATGAAATGATGTCATTTGGGAGCCATTCCCATCTGCCGCGGTGATGCAGCTTCCTCCTGGGAGAAAGTTTCATTCTGTGCTAAGATCTTGGCAACGGGCCATCAATCTTCTAGCAGTTCTGCTTCTTGTTCTTCCTCTCTCTCTCTCTGCGAGCTCATCGGCACCAATCCTCCGGTGAAAAGGCTGCGATTGCCGTTTAATTGCCAGTTGAATTTACCGGCTTGGCTGTAGGTTTTTGTTTTTTTTTGTTTTTTTTTTCAGAAAGGTTCAGATTACTGCAAAGTCGGCGGAACAGCCAGACTTAAGTATGTAGGACCCAGTGCAATTTATTTCCTCCTCAGAGTTGGTGGGAAGACTAATCAGAATGTAAGATTATGGTAAACTCTCTACTTTGAATGTATACAAACGTTCTACATAAAAAGTACATGAGGTGCATGTGAAGTGGGGGGGTTTTTAACAGCATTTTTAAAGCAAATTGTGCACAAAGTAGTCCTTTCAGCCTCCGATTAATCTCCAGCTGAACCTGCTTAAACTCCCCGTTTTAAACAAAGCTCGTCCTGCCACTGTGAGTCTAATGCAGATGGTTTGTTTTTCTGTTTACAGCCGTTAATGTTTGTAATTTCGTGGGCTCCTCAGCATGTCCTAATTGCTTATTGTGTCTCCTCCCAGCTGCGAATGAATTTAGAGTCGCGACTAATTACTGCTCCTTACAAGCTGCCACTGTTAGAACACACTGCTATCTAGCATGGTTTATTAGCCGCCGCTGCTCGGTGTTGTAGTTCCTGCGCTGATCGAATTTGTCTTCGTCGGATGTGCTCTTAATAAATAAGAACAGCGAAGTTCATTCTAGTCCTTCTAGGATGATGACGACCCAGGCTTGATTTATTCCCCTTATCCAGTTAGTCTGAAGTCCTTTTTACCTGAAATCTATGACTGAAAAATAAATATATACTTTAAATATTATTATGTATCATATCATATGTTCATCATATGTTCATATTATGCATTCAAAACAAATACAGATGATCGTTTTAGTGCCTGAGCAGAGGGAGATGTGTGATAGTAAAAAGATACAGTGTTTTTGAACCTGTCCGTCCTGACTCTACAGACAGCATGACCATGTCCATGGAGGGCTTCGGTCCGGACAGCGTCTTCGCAACGCCGGCGGAGGACAACGGCCAGTACCGCATCAGCCGCAGCCTGGTGCGCTCCGCCGAGGGCAGCACCGTGCCCCTCACCCGAGTCAAGTGCCTGGTGTCCATGACCACGCCCCACGACATACGCCTGCACGGGTCGGCCGTCACGCCTGCATTCGTGGAGTTTGACACCTCGCTGGAGGGCTTCGGGTTAGTCTGCACGAAACTTTGAGTGTTTACATATCTGGTCGATATAATATGCATTTCTTATTGCTAGTATGTTGGCCAACTTTTCCCATTTTGCTATTTCGAGTTGTGCTTCTGCCTGAATCAAAGTCCAACATTCACTCTTCCTTTTGCTCCGTTTTGGTCTCCACCTATTCGTGAGAATAATATCTGGCTCTTTAGCTGCTAAATGCTCCACTTTCTCCACCAGCTAGTCTTTACATTTTTAATACAGCTGCTGGAAATGAACCGATGACAGCGCTGAGACTGAACCAGACAGTTATGGTGCTATAAAACTGAAACAACGAGCAAAAAGAGGCTAAAAACATGCGTAAAGCTGAGAAGAAATGCTGCACCGAGCTCATCCCTTCACCTTTGATTTTTCTATTCATTACATCTCGTCATTTGATCCATTATTAATATAATGAATGGACCAGTCTTCGTTACTTTAAAAAGCTGTTGCAGCAACAGATGATGCTAGTCCTTTGTAAATCTATTTTCTCTAAAAATATTTTTCTTCATGGAGTCTTTTTTCTCACCAGTGACACACACACACACACACACACACACCTCAGGGTGCCGCATGTTATTTTAACCCTGCAATCTAACAGGTTGTTTTTTTATACCTCTCTGCGGTGACTGTCTCAGCAGGAGGCTGTTATTCGCCTCCAGTTGTGGAGCCGCGCATACAAATAGGCTCATTTTCCGCCTTTTATGTCATACGACGCCCCGCGCTTTGTTGCAGCTGCTGCTGGTCGCTGCTGACGGGCTCTGCTGCACTCGGTCGCTTTGTATGTTAGCCGCTCGGTGAATGTCGGGGGTCAGTGGAAATGACGGCGCATTGGATGTGACCTTGGCAATTCGCCCACACACGTTTAGCAACACATACGTGCACGAATGTAGCGCTGACACGCAGTAAACAACTGTTGATATGTTTTGTTCTTCATTAATATTCATAAGGAGGCAGGTTTAAGAAAAGGGTGGACGTCTTGCAAAAGGTCGTTGTCGAAGTTTTGTGTCAGTTTAGCGGCAAAGTGCCAAAGATAATTTCCTGTGACTACCTGACCAGCATTGAACAGCGATGCAGCATCTCTTTGATTGGCCTCATGTGTGACGCTGTTGCAGAGCAAGGCAGCAAAGGGATGAATTATGAATTTCAAATGAACTAGTCTGTTAGACCTTAACTGTCTCGTTGTTGTTTCAAATGTCCCCGAATCTTTTGCACATTTTTCCCTTCAAACACAGTTTCAAGAGCAACACACACACCAGCCGCACACGCCAGATTTGACCCATCACACACACACACCAGATATGTTTTTCAGATGTCTTATGTCGAGGTACAGAATCCGAGATGTGGTAAATGAAATTGATAAGATGGCTGGAGCTGAGAGTTGAAATGGTGGCACATGTTAACGTGGCAGTAGGCAGCATACTGCGTCTACCAGCACCAGTGTGTCAGATTGCATATGAAATATACCAGAGCCCCCGGCATACTGTAGGTGGTTTGATGATTGTCTTACGCCACCTGTCATCATTCCTGCTCAATGTTGTGCTCCACTTACAGTTCTGTGGTTTCTCTTTGTTCTGCTTCTGTTTCTCTCTGTTCGGTGTTTAACATGTAGACAAAGTGTGGCCGCTGTCCGTGTTGGTGTTGGCGTTGATGTTGTTTGTTTGTTAGAGTTGAGAATATACATATGAAAGTAAATGCATCACGTCGTCCTGAAATAGAAGCAGTGTTTCAACCACATCTCACAGTTTTTATCAGTGTATGGTTCGTTCAGCTCATGCGGGTGAAAGGCTGAGCCTTCACTCTCAGCACAATGCGACCTTTGGGATCATCCCTGTTGAATATCGATTGATTTCAGGATGCATAAGCGTAGTGTGAGATTTAAGGCGTCATCCATGTTTTGTTTTGTTTTTTATTTTTTTACACTTTATTCTTTATTTAAAATCACATTACAGCAGCAGTTCACACATCTTTACTAAGATACTTTTGCAGAATAATCCATCCTTTCTGCTTTTTTCCATTTAAATAAAGAACACAAGATACAACAAATAAAATAAACAAAGGACAGATATATGCATTTTCCGCTTCTCCCAAATTTCCTAGAATTTAATTTCCTTCTTTCTTTCCATTACAAAGATTTCATAACTGAGAATATACTAGTTTTAAATAGATCGGGTCTAAAGTACTTTGTTTGCTTCTCCAGCAGCTCAGGTCCTCGTGTTTTTAATGAAATAAATAATCCTCGTCTTTCTCTGCTCAGCTACGAGACTTAATGAGGCGTCTTTCCTTCGTGTCAAAAAAACATCTTCAAAACCTTAACGGCCAGATCAATTCCCTTTGACTCACCCCTTTTGGAACCCCCCCTCAGTGACCATATTTCCTGCCTCATAATTTCTCAGCTTTCCGGTTTCTTTTACCCACAAGAACCCATTTGACTCGTCGCAGCCGATACCTCCGAGTAGAACATGGAGTTTCTCCTGAAAACACGGCGAAGCAGCAGCAGCACACAGGCGACGAGGCACTGGCCCACTTTCTCCTCACCATCAACAGAGGACACACACACACCCACACCCCCTCCTTCCTCTCCCATCTGTCACCATGAAATATTGATGCCCCTGCTGCTATTAGGAATCACACACAGGCACTCTCTCTTCTCTTGCACAACATGCTTACACACACACACACACACACACACACGCACACACACACCGGTGCACACTCACGCAGCCAGCCGCCTCACAAGGCGCCCCCCCCCCCCTCCATCCAGTGTGGGTGGAGGGGAAAGGAAAGAAGCAGCATAACAAGCTGGTGAAATCCCCGGAGTGTTTTTTTTTTTATTTTCTGTTTAACCTAATCTCGATGAGGACTAAAAAGACAGCATACATGTTACTATGAAGCAGCAGCAGCAGCAGCAGGGTGGTGGTGGTGGTGTTGTTGACAGTCTGTCTGTTAAACTGAGGACCAGAGTGTCTGCTCTTGAGACGTGTCCTTGAATCCCTGCCAGATTCAGAGACGCTGACCCTGACCCGGGGGCCTTCCTGTCCAGGTGGAGGAATACAAAGAGAGAGCCAAAAACAAAAATCTGCTCATTTTGGAGCTCGATTAGCGTCTCTTTGAAAAAAAGATCAACGCAGCCGACGCTTCTGAACCTAAAATACAATTCATATCGGCCTCGTATCACGCTGCAGAAACACACAATGCCTTGTTGGGTAATGTTGTGAAACGATTGGTTAGGTTTAGGCAGCGAAACTACTTCGTAGAGTATTTTAAAAAGATCATTTTTTGTAACAATGAAACTGCCGCAAATAAATAAATAATTTACGACTAAACTAAACTTTATCGCCAACGTTTACTTTTGGTTTCACACGGGACACGAACAACGGTCTCCTGCATGAGAGTCCTGTTTTTCATACAAGCCCTCTGTAGACGTTCTCGTTTCTCATACTCATATAAATTATACATACATATTATACCCTGTGACTTAATAACAGTCACTCGATTAATACGTTAATGACCGAATTTAAAAACGGTGACATTCAAAGTATTTCGTGGTTTGCAGGAACGCACAACATTCTTCCCCGGCTGATTATATTTAGGCCTTTAAGCATCAATTATTTTGTGTTATTGATTAATGTAGTCTGTGCATATAATCAATTGTTAATGATATAAAATATCAGATGAGTTTTAAAAATGCTTCTGTCAATCCGCCCAGAGTCCAGGGGGATGTCTTCAAATTAGTTTTGTCCAACCGACCGCCCAAAACCTAAAGATGTTTTTACTTACTCTGGTTTGAGAAGATGAAACCAGGGAACTATTGGGCACTTTGTTCAATACAAGATGAGGCAACATTGACATTCTTTATTTTTCTTATTGTCATCAAATCCCCTTAAAAGCCCAAAACAAATGATTTGATCATACCACCAACTATTGTCTGTTTCCAAAGCCGTCTCTGCCATAGAGCTCCATGGTTGTTCCCATAAATAACTAGTAAATGCTCTAATTTCCAGCTGTTTTAAGAGTCGCTTTTTAAAATTGAAACTATGTATTTGTGATGGTTTTTAAAGATTCTTAAAGCCCTAAGCTGATTGTTTCAGTAGGAACCAGTGAGTGCCACAGACTAACACATTGTTAGTCTTAATTGGGTCTTTTTATAACGCTTTATCAGTAAACTGACTAATTGTTTCAGCACCAGTTATAAGTGCTTTATCTTTAGAGATGTTTGTCTGAGTTTTTGACAGTAGTTGAATCACTTAATGCGACGTTACAGGAGGAGACCTTTCAGAATTGTGCTCATTTCCTCTGATTTGTCCTGAATTACTGCTGCAGTTTATAATAAAATAAATAAATGAGACAAATGACCAAAGCCTTGTGATAAACTTGTTTGTGATAGACTTAGTTTTTAGTGCTTAGCATTCAAAAAGTACCATACCATACTGTGTGGACATCTCGTGATAGTGATTCAAGCTCCTTGCCGTCATCAGGCCTCTCCTCTCGTGTGCTTCGATTCAGGCCTCAGTCCCTACAAATCCCCCCAAAAATCCCCATGTTCATTTCCCAGAGCAGCAGTATCTTCAGCGCTGTTTCAGTGTGATTAGAGAGCAGATAATGGCACCTTTTACGAAGAGGCAGTGAGTTGGCAGAACACAACGCCGACTCACTGCCTCTTGGTGAAAGGTGCCATTATCTGCTCAAAGTCTGTGTCATTTTTTGCTGGAATGATTGTCAGTCTTTGTCCGCTGTAGAAGTCCTTGAAAGAGGAGGACAGCGTACGCAGACGTAAATCTTTATCAAAGGAAATAAAGGTCCATCGTTTCATCAGGAAGCTTACTGGAGACTTTGAAACCTTTTCATATTGTCATTATAATCAGTACCAGCACGGACCTCAGCTAAAGTGCAAGGAGAAGCAACTCCAATTCCTTTTGAAAACTGGGCCTGAATGTACGCTTTCATCCTTCTCTCATACATAATTAGTCCTTGAGTATCAGGCAGTAGAGATTTCCATATTATAACACAAAGCTCCAGTGTCTCCAGCGCTTGAATTACCAGGCTGATCTCTCTAATAGTTTATCTCGGGGAGCCAGACTAATTCAGCAAACCCGACTACTACACGTGTAAGCTTGTCAGCTTGTTTTGTACCTGTTCCAGCTTCTTTCACCCGATGTAACGTTCGTCTGTCCTGTGTCGTCCTGTGCAGGTGCCTGTTTCTGCCCAGCCTGGCGCCCCACAACGCCCCCACCAACAACACCAACGCCTCAGGGGTCAGCGACGGAGCGGTGCTCAGCGGGATGGGCACAGGTAAGGACGGCCCATATAAGTTAGAGTACGGAGACATATCGACTACTTTAAGGACTAGTTGGGGGACTAACGAGAAGCATTCCGTTCTTCAGCTACACTGTCAAATTAAGGCAGAAAAAAGCACCAAAAAATAATCTAACAGCCAATATCTGTTACCTATTTGTTTTTCTTTGCCCTCGTGGTATTAACATGTTCCATCTGTTTAGAAAGGATTGAGGTATAAAAGCATTTCTGTACTCAAGCAGTGAAAGAGTAAGAAAAGATTCTAATGTGTGAAAATCTCCTCCTGCTCAACCATCCCACCTGTTGTTTAACCACACACACACACACACACACACACACACACACACACACACACACGTGTCATGTATTTGTGTCATCTGTGGTGTTTGATTTGTGCACCATCTTCCTCATGGCTTCCTCTTGTTCCCCTCCTCTTGATTCTCACTTTCTTTCTTCTTCTTGGAGCACAGTGTTGTGTGTTTTTCCCTCTCAGGAGTTCTTTAATCTCACCCACAGTGTGTGTTCGTTCGCATGTTTTTAGTTTTCATCATTTGTTGATGTGAAAGAAAAACTAACGACGACACCTGAAACCCAAAGAAGCCAAAGATCTGGAGGCAGAGTTCACATTAATGTGACGTTATCGGTTTTCTAGCCTGAAGACTCGTTGAGTATTTATGAAGCACAGCTAGCTGACTTCTCCTCTCGGTCTCTCCTACAGCTCTCCTCTTTTCTCCTCTCCTCTCTCCTCCTCTTCTTTTCTCCTCTCCTCTCGTCTCCTCTCATCTCTTTTTCTCAGCTGTCGTCTTTTCTTCTCTCCTTTCCTCTCCTCCTCTCCTATCCTTTTCTCTCTTACAGCTTTCTTCTTTTCTCCTCTCCTTTTCTCTCCTGCAGCTTTTCTCCTCTTCTCCTTTTCTTTCCTCTCCTTTTCTCTTCTCTTCCCATTTTCCTTATTCTCTCCTCCACCTCTCTTCCTTTTTTCCTCCTCTTCTCTCCTCTCCTCTCTTCTCTCCTCTCCTCCTCTTGTCTTCTCTCCTCCTCCTCTCCACTTCTCTCCTCCTCTTGTCTTCTCTCCTCTCCTCTCTTCTCTCCTCTCCTCCTCTTGTCTTCTCTCCTCCTCCTCTCCTCATCCCCTCCTCTCTTAACCCCTCCCCTCCTCATTATCTCCTTCATCACTATCATGTCTCCGTCTGTTTACCTATTCATCCGCTCCCTCTGCACTCATCCACCCTTCTTTCCTCTTGTCGTCTCCATCCAGTCAACACTATTTATAGACCTCTCTCTTTCCCTCCCTCATCTCTCCCCGTCACTCACATCTTCCTTTTCTCCGTCCTATTCGTCTCTCATCTCCAGCCCACAATCCTTTTCTTTGTCTTTCTTCCTCCGCTCGTTACTTGTTCCTCCTTTACTGTTTATTCTCTTTTCTTTCCCTCCATCCTTCCTTCTATTGTCACTTTTTCCTCGTCTCCTTTCTTGCCTCGTTTGTTTCAACCCCTTCCTCCCTTCCCTCCCATATCTCGCTCCTATCTGACCCATATCTTTGGATGACATCATCGGGAAGCTCATTCATCAAACTATCCTCCGTGTGCTCAGGAGCTCACAGCACCTCTGTGGTATCAGTCATCGACTGATATTCATAAGAAATGCATGTATTCCCTCACACACTGTCTCTGTTCTTGCAGCATTAATGTGTTTTTTCTTCTGTAATCCAAAGAGTCTGTATTCCTTCTACACAAACAAGCAGTAATGTATTGGATCAGTGAAGTTACGTTTAGCTGGTCTGTGCTCCTCTAAGGCCTAATGCTAAAATCAATGCTGGCTTATTGGCTGCAGCAGACAGTGAGCGATGGGTTTCTGGCCCGTTTTAATTTGGTTCCGTCTGATAACCTGTTGAGTGGCAGCTTGGTCCTGAGGCGCAGTGAGTTTGCAATCCTGTGAGGCTCAAAGGCTCGGTCCAACATAGTGACACTCCGTAATGCTAGCTCCTTTCTTTAAGGCTGAGTGTTGAGATTTATTCTACGCACCCAGTGGCTAATTCTCAGAAGGATTGAGCGGCTTTAGCGACCGCTAAACCTGCACAAAAAAAGACAAAAAGAAACCATGTCATTGTCAAAACACCCGTCGGAACACCTCTGCCAAACAAATATAGTCTCGTGCTCCTGTGCTTTTTGTACGTAATTAATTAAGTAATTTGCAGACATTTTAGCGCAGAATTGTGCCTTTTCTATGCAAATGAGCCTCATTACAAACACAAAGCGCTAACAAACGCACGCAGTTACAGTGAAAGTATTAGCTTCTTCAGGGACTTGATGGTAACTGAAGTGCATTCATCAGGGGCGTCACAGCGAGACTTTCCACTGATCATGGCAGCAGCGATTGGAGCCAGACGACGTCATCGTCATGCTCCGATCAAACTGATGTATTCCGTGATGCAATAGCAGCTGTGTTATGACAACTAAACGAATAAAGCTGCCCTGCAGTACTCGAGAAGGAAAAAAGAATGAAAAACATGTTTATTATATGAACAAATCTGCAGAAACGGGGCGAGTTGCACTCAGCTGCACAACGTTTGTGTTGAAATAGAATAATTACGACATCTTTTGTGAACCGGACCTTGAGACGGGGCAGAGTTTTCAAATGATGCGCAATTCATGGTGCATTCAGCGGCCGCAGCCCGTTCTGTGTGAATTCAGCCGTCGGTTGTGAAGCTATTCTGTGTAAATACTGACATCGTTTGGTTTGGTTAGAAGTGATTCAAAATGATGAATGACTGCAGTGATAGAATAAATCTGTACGGATGAGGTGAAATGACTCAAGGGGCTCACTGATGTATTTCACTTCAAAAAGATAGAAGTAAACAAAACATTCAACATCATAGACGACGTTAAGACAAAGTGAGAGTGACAATACAAAGCAAAATACATCCAAGCAGCTGTAACGCATGAATAATATTCACATCACACTTATTGCCGCTATCGGCTCCATCTCGTCTGTGATATCAAGTCGCCGCCTGCAGCAAGAGCAAACATGCAGTCTGTCCAAAAAACGACGATATCTGTGGCACTCGGTAAATAAAAGAGCTCCACATGGTGGAAACCCAATATGGTGCACACACACACCAATGGTCCTGTAGGCAAAAGAACGAGCGGCCTATTTGACACAGTTCAGTGTTGGAGCGTCGATATTTACATGAAGTGGTCGGACCTCCTCTGATCGCTCTCTCCTCCACCTTCCCCTCTCTCTCCTCCAGGGGAGCGCTTGTTCCCGCCCCCGTCGGGCCTAAGCTACTCCACCTGGTTCTGCGTGGAGCGCTTCAGCGCGGCTCCCCAGGCCCACCCGGTGCGGCTGCTGACCGTCGTGCGGCGGGCCACGTCCTCCGAGCAGCACTTCGTCTGCCTGGCCGTGGTTCTGTCCGCCAAAGACCGCTCGCTCACCGTCTCCACCAAGGAAGAGCTGCTGCAGTCCCACTGTGAGTACAGTGGAGCTAGTTCTCTTCACAATGTGGTCCATTTTAATTATTCGTTTGTATATCTATTACACCTAATGAAGCCGTCTCTTGTGGGGTTTCAGTCAGTAACCCAGAGGTCATGTTTTTACATCAAACAGCTGATGAGTCCAGTGAAGAAGCCTCCTTCTATGAGATCCTGCCCTGCTGCGCTCGTTTCCGCTGCGGGGAGCTGATCCTGGAGGGCCAGTGGCACCACCTGGTGCTGGTCATGAGCAAAGGCATGCTGAAGAACAGCATGGCCACGCTGTACATCGACGGCCAGCTCATCAGCACCGTCAAGGTACAGTCGCACACTGAGGGATGTGCACAGCAAGTCGGGAAGAGTCTGAGCACATGATGGAAACACCGGCATTTATAATTGACCCCGTGTTGGATAGATTCCCCTTTAGGGCTGCAACTCAGGATTTATAAGGGATTTTCTATATTATTTGTTCCAGTAAGCGGCTCATAGTTTAGTCCAAACGATGTCAAAAAAGTGAAAAGTGCCGATGACAGATTATTAACAGCCTACTTCTTCAGATTTGCCAGATCAACAGTCCAAAACCCAAAGATATTTCATTTAAAGCTGAGCAGCAAATTAACACATTTAAGAATCTTTAAACTAGTGAATATTTGGTATTTTCTTCTTGATAAATTACCGAAATGATTAATCGATCATCACAACATTAAATCAATTTAATAACCAAGAATCAAGCATGGGTGTCGTACGGTTCACTGTCTCCAATGAGAACTGTGACTTTATAAAAGGCCTCTGGATGTTCGGTTTAATCTAATATTACCATTAAATTAAATAGAAACGAGTTGCCCTGATTCATGGTTATCACACAGAACCGGTGACAAGTCACAGCATTACACACATCATCTATAATGTGGATGGACATATGAATAGAAACACAGAGTAGATATCTGACCGATCTCCTCACATATATAGGGACAACATATGCTAATTAGCCTCTAGCTAACTCTGGTGCAGTTGGTTTTAATTGCATGCTGTCCCGATACAACGTAAACTCTGTTTTTAAAGAAACCTTCGTTGCAGCTGCTCTGATGGGGGATTTCAGCTCAGAAACACATTAGTAAACCAGGCGTTAGACCCTAACCGTGCAGACTGAGATGTGGTTTAGTGACTTCAGATTGCCCTCTGAGATTAGAGCGTGACCAGACCACAAGTATCCGCTTCCTCTCAGCACTGCTGATGACAACGGCTTCATTTCCTGCTGAGGTCGTCACACAGGAATCAACAAGCCGCTCGTACATTTCTTATGAGTCTGTGTGCATGTAAGAGGGGACTGGTGGTTTTGTGGGTTTCTGTAAAGCACAAATCTTCTCCTACTAGTTTCTACTCATTAATCAGCCCTCAAACTTATAAATTATGAATAATGAACAGATGAGACATTGTGCAGCGTTTTCACTCAGTTCTTCAGATTGCTGCCATAAAACTCATGAACCCCGACGTTAAAATGACACATCTCACCTGTACCTTCCCCCTCTCTCCTCCAGCTCCACTACGTCCACAGCGCTCCGGGTGGCTCCGGCTCCACCAACCCCCCCGTGCTGAGCACCGTCTACGGGTACGTGGGGACGCCGCCGGCCCAGCGCCAGCTCTCCAGCCTGGTGTGGCGTCTGGGGCCCAGCCACTTCCTGGAGGAGGTCCTGCCCGCCGCCAGCGTCGCCGCCATCTACGAGCTGGGACCCATCTACGTGGGCAGCTTCCAGGCCGTCTACCTGCCCTGTGAGTGGCCCTCGAGAAGTTGACCCTTCAATCCTCATATTCTTTCTTCTAGTCTCCAATCTTCTATCTTTCCTAACCTTTGTTTTTATACCTCAGGTAAAGACTCTAAGGCGGAGGTATCTCCGGCCTCCCCGGTGGCGTTGGTACCGGAGGAGAAGGTGTCCTTCAGTCTCTACGCGCTCTCCGTCTCCACTCTCACTGTGGCCAAGATAAGGAAAGTCTACAACAAACTGGACAGCAAAGCGATCGCCAAACAGGTCAGACATTACCACTGCTCGGTGGAACGAAAGTCAGCGTAATAGGATTGTATTTTGGGAACTTTATCAAAAGAAAGCATTGAGACTGAGATGAATGGACTGAATGCAAAATATAGACAGTTTTCACCTGAATAAAGCCACACAAAGTTTAGTCTTTTTAAATGGAGAATGAGTTATTTATTGGAGAAACCTTTGCTGGTTTATTCCTTAAAGCTGCTGTTTAAAATAGTTCAGATTGCTTCTCCTTAAAAGGTAATGATCTGCTTTATTGTAAAGATTTACTGTGATAATTGTTTATAAATGGGCATTTACATATCAACCACTCACTGCTGATTTAAACACAGATCTGGAGCTCACAGTGGGGCTTTATCTGGGACATTTTCTACTGTCTCTGGGGTGACGGGGACAGGAAAACGAGCACTGTCACGTTTTTCAGAATTTTGGCATCAACTTAAAACCGAAGTGTCCATTCTGGATATCGAGGAGTGCAATGTCAGCAACAAAATGTACTTCATCCAGCCTTAAATTATATAAACAACATATTCTTGAAGTTCCGTTTTAAAGATTGATCACAACAGATCATATCTGTCACTAGTTTGCACACACACACACACACACACACATATATACAGACTGGTACATACTAGCGTGCAAAGTCAACCTCCCTCCTCAACAGAATATATGCAGTCAGTACTTGCTTGAATGCTCACTCACACACACGCATATATATGCAGCTAGCACACCATCCTATTGTGTGTGTGTGTGTTTGAGCTCCAAATGAGTTCCCTCCTCCGTCCTTATCTCTCTCCCCACCTGTCCAGTTATTTCCCAGCCTGCACTGCTCTCCCCCGCTGAGCCTCGGCTCTCGGCGACCCGCGGGAAGCAGGCGGCGAAGAAAGAAGTGCAGAGGCAGCATTTCTGCTGCCGCAGGGACGTGTTGTAGAACGGGAGGAGAGTCGTTCATAGCAGAATACGTTGGTGTTCTTGCTTTAGAAATAACGTTATCACTCGTTTCTCAGTAGAACGAGGTAAATGACACACAAAGGCAGTATTTGTCACACCTTTGTCACTCGCTACATGACGTTAAAATGAATAAATCGAGTATTTTCCGGTAGAGCCACAGAGTGTGGCGTCTCTTTCTTTTCCTCCCGACTTGCTAAATTGGTCCCACTTTTCATTTTAAGTGGCTGAATAAAAGCTTTTTAGAAAGGTCAGACCTTGATACAAGACTGCAGCTTTCAACACTAACATCTAATGCTCTTTATGTAACAACATCCACAACAAGCCGTGTTCAAACTCTCCTCAGAGCAAAACAAACAAATCTATAAGCAAAGACTAGAGGATGAATTTGACAAATAAGCACATCAACATTGTGTGTTATTTGGTTTCTTAACTCGAGGGTGTGGAAGCCCAGTTTGATCTCATAAGGGCGGGACCAGTAAAACAGTTGCATCATAACCTATAAATAGCAACACCACCAAAGCTTTCCCTTTCGTTTAGTGTTAGGAAGTACAAGAACATTCTGAAAACCTGCACAATTAACGAAAAATCCATCATTAAACAGATGAGTTGAGATGTCTCGATGTAAAAACAGACAATTCATTCATCATTTAGTCATTCATTCCCCCCCCTTCCCCCCTGAATGTAAGCAAGCTGGATCTATAACAGCGTATGTAGCATATTCTTATTAGGACAACGCGAACCCCAGTGGAAAAATAGGAATAGCTGTGCATTTTATTGAAACATTGTAATTAATGACTGTTCACAGTCATCCACTACATACGGCCGGGTCTGACACCCCCGTCTGAACTGATCATCTTCCCTTCCTCTGTAGCTCACTGTGTCCTCTCATGAAAACGCCACTCCGGTCAAGCTGATTCACAACGCCGCGGGCCACCTCAACGGGCCAGCGCGTACCATCGGAGCCGCTGTCATTGGATATTTAGGTAAACAAACTCCTAAAATCAGCAGCTAATCCTGCATTTCAGAGAGTCATGTTTATACTGCAGCTGTACTACGTTTCTCATTCCTTCAGGCGTCCGCGCGTTCGTGGCTAAACCCGTGGCCACCAACCTGCAGTATGTGGGTGGGGCGGCGGCCATCTTGGGCCTGGTCGCGATGGCGTCAGACGTGGAGGGGCTGTACGCTGCCGTCAAGGCTTTGGTGTGTGTCGTGAAAAGCAACCCGTTGGCCAGTAAGGAGATGGAGCGCATCAAAGGCTACCAGGTTAGAAGCAAGTCACCGGTCACATGACACGCTCTGATTTTATGGATCTAAACACCTACTACTGTTCACTTCCTGCACAATCTCAAACTGAAAGCTCATAAGTTTGGTCAAACTAAGATATTTTAATTTGGATGAAGATGAAGCAGAAATGTGACGTGATATTAAATAAAATGCAATGAGACGTGCTGGTTAAAACCTTTTTTTTCGGTCCCTTCTGCAGCTGCTGGCTATGCTGCTGAAGAAGAAGCGCTCGCTGCTCAACAGCCACATCCTCCACCTCACCTTCTCTCTGGTGGGGACGGTCGACAGCGGCCACGAGACCTCCATCATCCCCAACTCCACCGCCTTCCAGGACCTGCTCTGTGACTTCGAGGTGAGGAACTAATGGAACCAGTAGATGCTGATGAAATAAAGTACTCTTCACCAAACTCATTCGATCCGACAGCGTTATTGCAGTCGAACGGTTGAAAGAACCATTTTAGTTGCAGGTGTACTTTGGGATGCACAGGCTGCTGTGACCGAATGAGGGGAAAAAAAGTAATTACACGGCGGTTGAACCTTTTTAGAAACTGTGTTTGTGTCGCCGAGGCCTCAGCCTGCTCCTTCTGCTCCTCAGGTCTGGCTCCACGCTCCCTACGAGCTCCATCTGTCTCTTTTTGAGCATTTCATCGAACTGCTGACAGAATCCAGGCAAGTGATCAAAAACTTTGTTTTTTTCCGAAATGATTAAAAAGTGAATCGTGAAGTGACTCAAACTCTGATCTGACCCGTGTGCCACCGCTCTCTGTCTTCAACAGCGAGGCGGCCAAGAACGCCAAACTGCTGAGGGAGTTCCAGCTGATCCCCAGACTGCTGCTGACCCTGAGGGACACCTCGCTGTCCCAGCCGACCGTAGCGGCCATCGGCAACGTGCTCAGCCTGCTGCTGCAGGGCTTCCCCAACCCATACGACCTGCTGCGGTAAACACATGTTCACACGTACTCATCCTCAAAGAGTAGACCTGTTGTTAAATCTAACTCGCGCAGGATAAAGTAACAATGGAACATGTCAATTACATGAGGCAGTTTTGCATTTATTCAATTGTATTTGTTTGCTTGATGCCAGAAGACTGAGGAACAGAAATCGAAATCACAAAGTAAATATAAAAACGTTCCTTCTTGTTTGTCACCTCTCAGGTTCGGCCAGTTCATCTCCTCTACTTTGCCAACATTTGCCGTGTGTGAAAAGTTTGTCATCATGGAAATCAATAACGAGGAGAAGCTCGATGGAGGTAACAATAAATATCGATATGTGGAACTACAGAAACGGGTGTTTTGAATCATATTTGGTTCTTAAAATGTAGAAATATGTTGAGTTGTTAGCCATATTCAACTTATTCTGGCTGTTAGCCCGACTGATTCCCTTTTGAAAACTGTTTTGTGTCTCCAGGTAATGACGATGATTTCAGCGGCCTCCTGTCAGCCAACCTCATTCTGCTGAGAAACCGGCTGCTGGACAACCTGCTCAGACTGCTCTTCACCACCAAAGAGAAGTGCACCGTCAACGCCCAGTGAGTCGAAAAGCCTCCTCATATCTGCTTACCCTCAAAGCTTTAAACCTCGACCTTTTGAAAGAATAGTATAGAACTACCAGACACTTTGCACAGTGTGCAGCTATTAATTGATACTAAACACTAAACTTTAATCTTAAATGTGAGAGTAATGAAATAATAATGACTGCAGGGCGTGTGAGGAGCTGGTGCGGACGCTGGGCTTCGATTGGCTGCTGATGTTCATGGAGGAGCACCTTCACTCGAGCACGGTGACGGCGGCTCTGTGGATCCTGGTGGTGCTGCTCTCTAACCAGTCCATCCTCAACCGCTTCAAGGAGGGCCTGTGCGGAGGAGGCTGGCTGGACCACACCGACTCCGTCCTGACCAATAAGATCGGCACAGTGCTGGGTGAGTGCACGGGCCCGGGGAAGGCTTCACGGCCGCCATGCAAACGCAGTTGATTAAAAACAAAATCTGAGACACAGTGTCGACTCTGAAGTTGGATTGAGTAAATTCTAGGCAGTGTTCTTGGAAGGACGTGTGCTTGATATTAGCTCAAATTATTGTTTTAATTCTTTAAATGGAGACATTCCCCACATCCAGAGTCAGAAGCATGTCGTGATAATGTGCAGCGTATGTACTGTATGTTGTAATATGGCTCAGCAGACGCCTCTCCTCACTCTGGCAACGCTTTCCGTCGGAGTTGGCCGTCGTTCAGTAAACAGAAAGCTGCGCAGTTTGTGCGCCTCACAGCCAAGGGTTCGTCTTCTCATTTTTTGCCTCCCTGCTCTCCCTGCTGATGCTGCTGCTGCTGCGACCGTAGTCCCTCCTGAGCTCAGTGGTTTTCAACCTGGGAAATGAGCTTTCTCTCGACTTTTTAAGCTCTAATTATTAACGATTTCAGACAAAAATGACGGACGTGCTCTCTAATTTGTGTGTTAGATTCCTGTAAACCACTTTCCAACCTCCTCATCCCACCAGCCTCCAGGTTGAGAACCGTTGACCTTGCTTATGAAAACCTCGCTGAGTAGTGACATGGCCTAACATTAGCATTGTCAGAATGTGTGCTATCAAAATGAAGCCCCTAGATTTGGAGTTTGTCATTCAACCAAATCCTATTCTTTGAAATTATTTTTGCTAGTGCTCAGTTTCCAGTTTTAAATCCTGCCTGATTAGCTCAGTTAGAGAATTACCGTCTTTTGGTTATAACCGCCTCCTCGATGAACCCGCCCCAACAGCCGGTAGATGCCCGTAGTCAGAGGGCGCGTCCGGTAAACAACCACCCGTTTTATTCCCTCTTCAATCCCTCCTCTCTAGGCTTCAACGTGGGCCGCAGTGCTGGTGGGCGCTCCACGTTGCGAGAGATCAACCGGGAGGCGTGCCACTTCCCAGGGCTGCCCGTGCTGCAGACGCTGCTGCCCAAACACACCAACGTGCCCGAGCTCTACTTTCTGCTCATGGCGCTGTTCCTGCAGCAGCCCGTCACCGAGCTGCCGGACAGCCTGCAGGTACATGTTAGTATACACCTACTTTCTTTCTTCTTCTACGTATATTAATGGTTCTGCAGTATTTTGTTGAGTGTTATACACTAAGAGTCATGGAAGCCCTGAGAGGCCAGTGAGAGAAACTAATATTCTGGTGATCCTTTTTCTAAGGATGATCTTGTTAAAAAAGAAAAGTTTTAGCAGATGAATTTTCTTTGTTGTTTTTGTGAGGATCATTTGTCAGTGTTTGTTGTTGTGATACTCATTTAGGCCACAAGAGGCTGAAATGCACCCCCATGTTCTAAATAAGACAGAGCATTTCAATTTCATTTACCTTGTGAACACGCACTATACGTGCCGTGTGTTTAGAGTGCATGGAGAAATAAAAACTCACCTGGAAGAAACCATGACTGCTGTTAGTCCGATTTAGAACATGGAGTAGTGGCGCACTTCAGCCTCTTGTGGCCAACATGAGTCTTACAACAACAAACACTTAAAAAATGATCCTGAAAAAACGAAACAAAAATCAAGGAACTTAGAACGATGACCCTTTTTTCACCTTTTTTATACCGAGAGAAACCTATTTAGATCAGACTTCAATCTAATTAATTATTTAAACTTTTAAAGAAAAGCGTTTAAAGAACTCAGAAAATGCAGTTTTGTTTTTTCTCGCTGTCCTCTCAGGGCTTCCATAAAGATCAGTAAATATTAAATAATAAAATGTGACTGTAATGTACTCAATTTCTGTCTTCCTTTAAATTAAACTCACTTTAATAAAAATAGTTCTTCTGTGGGAACGATGCAGTGGACAATGGGGACATTGCTACCTTTTGAGGCATTAACTAAGATTACATACGTTTAGTAAAATGTTGTCTGACAGCTCAATAGCCATCAGAGTCGCACTGTATAATGAGGGTGATTTACATTTGCAGCTCTTAGTACTAAACCCACTGTTATCCAGCATGATTAACCAGCCATCAGTAGAATAAGCTGAAATGCTTCAATTGCAACATTGACAATGTGAAAAAATAAATTCTCGATGCCAGATATGCAGATATTATCAGTTTTAAGATGTCAAAACAACACATAGGAGGAAAAACAGTAGCATATAATAATATGTATTGTGTTTATCTGACTGTATATTACCCCAGTGTCTGTTTGCCCTCTCAGTTTGACCTGGACTCCATCTGGACGTTCATCTTTGGCATACCGACCTCCAGTGGGACCGTCGTGGGCTCCATCCACAACGTGTACACCGAGGCGGCCTTCCTGCTGCTGGCCATGCTGCGCAGCATGCTCAACCTGGTGAGAAGCGGCTCTCTCATGACGAGAGCGTAATTAGAAAGATCAAGATTAGCCCGGGTCTTTAGTGAACCCTTTAGAAAGAAGAGATGTTTATAAACCAACAACTGTTGATAGAGAAAGTGACATTTAGTTTCTTTAGAACACAATGCTCTCAGGATCAGTATCCGAATTGCATAGTTAAAGCAACATTATGCAAAAAGTGGTATTTTTGCGATTTGGCGCCCCTACAGTTTTGGAGACTACGGTTTCTATCTTGCAGCCTTTTATTCCACAAAGCTCTCGCCAACGACTAAAAGCCAGATTCAGATTTACTCTCGTCTGGCAGACCTCTTGCTCAGTCACTCTCTTCCCTTCCTTCAACATCGCCTCCTCTTCTCTGCCACGGTGTCCAGACGCAGAGTACAGAGCCAGCTTCTTCTCACAGCTAGCCGGTGGTGCGCAAAAAAACGTTGCTTTAAGGCTGAATAGAAACCTCTTTACCCATAATTTGACTAATTAAATCCGACACCTTTTCCCAAAAGCAGATTACTTTTGAACACGCGTCTTGTTTTCTCTTGTTCATTAGTCCTTTTTAAGTAGTTCTTTATGTCTGATTTCACAGCAGTTGCTTCCCGGATTCTTTAAAATCGTCTTTCTCAAGCTCCAATTAATCCAACAAAAATAACTCGGCACACGTGCAGTTTTCATCCTCACTCATCCGCACACTGGAGAGTTTCTCAGGGAATCTCACGGCGCTCGCTGCTGGTTGCTGAGAAGCTTGAGTCGACCTCCTGGGACCCAAACGCCTCTCTCTCTCTTACTCACGACGACTCAGGCTGCATGTAGTCTGAATGACCACGATTGTGTTGAGTCGGTGCTTGATTTGTTTTCTTGTGCATTTCTTTGTCTTCCAGCCGTGGCAGTCGGAGGAGGAGGGCTCCTGGCTGAGGGAGTACCCGGTCACCCTCATGCAGTTCTTCAGGTATCTCTACCACAACGTGCCCGACCTGGCACCCATGTGGCACAGTGCGGAGTTCCTCTGCGCCCTGGCAGCGACCGTCTTCCCTTTCAACATCAGGCCCTACTCTGAGATGGTACGGCTCCACATTGTTTCCAGAAGCATTAAGAAACCTGTGACTAGAAGGACATTGAGCAACTCTAATAGCACTAATCTCTTGTCTCAAGACTTTAAATCAAAGCGCAGTCGGTCTGTAATTGGGTTTAAAGGCAGAACATCTCATCACCAGAGCAAGTAATCACAGGTCATTGATCAGTAACCCTAGAAACCCACTGCAGATATATTGTGATTCTCTCTTATGGGGCAATAACAACTGTAAGTTATTGTCCCTTTTGGAATCTCATTTGAAACCATTGGCACTGTAATCTTAACTGCTTTAGTTTCAAGAACAAAGTGCACGACTCTGCAGTTTTCCTCAGAGCAAACGTGTTTTCAGACGGTTTACTTGTTAAGAAAATTGCTCGGCTTCACTGTAGGATTGGAAAATAGAGATATGTCTGTTTTCTGTTACAGAATAGTATTATTTTTATCCTGTAGCTTGATGTGTTGTCCTGTAAAAACAACCTGTTCCAGGTCAGTGATCTGGACGACGAGGCGGGGTCTCCCACCGAGGAGTTCAAGGCCTTCGCCGGGGACTCGGGTATGAACCGCAGCCAGTCCGAATACTGCAACGTGGGCTCCAAGACGTCGCTGACCAACCACCCGGCCAAAAAGTACGTCTTTGACTTCATGAGGGTGCTGATCATGGACAACCTCTGCATGACCCCGGCCAGCAAGCAGACGCCCATCATTGACCTGCTGCTGGAGGTGAGGACCTAACCGAACCCACTGACCCGTTGACTCACCCTAACCCTTAATAAATACTGGTCCTAAATGTGCCTTTTCTGGCACTAGGCCTCTCCGGAGCGCTCCACCAGAACTCAGCAAAAGGAGTTTCAGTCCAACATCCTGGACGGCGTCATGGAGCATCTTCTGGCTGCTGATGTCCTTCTAGGTGAGAACCAAGTCCTGAAGCTCTCATAGAGAAAGACCCAGTCTGTCTCAGTTCATACGGTTTACCACACCTGCCCACCTTATTGTTTTCCAGTAATCTATAGTTTAAGGATGACCATAAAACAACGTACAATCTCCTCATGCAGCTTACCGACGTAGAGGAGACAAACCCTCCAGAGGCCAGAGGCTTTTAACAAAAACAGCTGATGATTATGCAGAAAGCGGCCCGGATGAGCACGCTGCAGGACAGCTTGGACCGATTCCTTAGTTGGCTCTGTAGAGATGCTCTGATGCATCATGAGTCAGCAAATCACAGTCTGAAGCCCAGAGAACAGCAAGCATCTTCAGCATTTTACACGGTCGCCTGTGTTATATTTAGTCTTTAGTCTGGTTTTTTGGTAATAATGAGACAATAAGAAATGTATTCTTCAAACGGTAATGCCTTTTGAACCCCTCTGACCTCATTTATAAATGTATCTGAACTAGTTACCTACATGTTAGCATGTTTTTACACCATATAATCGATAGCACGATAAGAAACAAACAAATTCAGTACCTATTACTGTCAGCACGCTATGTTGTTCAATATGGAAGGTACTGTCTGTTACTAAAGACATAGGACTTTATCCTTATGGGAGAATATCTTACCTACAAGTCACAAAGACATTAAAATCAGTGTGTGAAACCTTGCTAAATAGTTAAAACACCTACGTTAGTTTGGATCACGTGATTCTACTTTAAGATGTAAAATCCTTCAGTATCACATTTGGGAGAAACGCACCAAAAGAGACGTTGTGAATTAGCTGACCGCCTCTCTTGCTGCTCCTCTTTGTTTCAGGTGAAGACGCCTCTCTGCCCCTCAGCAGCGGAGGCAGTTATCAGATTCTGGTCAACAACGTCTTCTACTTCACCCAGAGAGTGGTGGACAAGCTGTGGCAGGGCATGTTCAACAAGGACTCCAAGCTGGTGGTGGACTTCATCGTGCAGCTCATCGGACAGGTAAGAAACCAAACCCAAGGGCCAGAGTGGACAGATGAACCCACAGTTAACGTATTCATACATATCACTGTGTTGAGGCAGCAACACAACCTTCCAGCTGGTTGGTCGTAGTAACAACCTAATTTCCTCAAGCTCAGAAAAACACTTGACGTCCATGTTCGCTAGATAGTTATCATAGATTGTAGCTCTGTGCAGAATGTCTGGTTGTTTTTTTTTTACCTTCAAAGCTTCTATTGAGGTCTCCAACAAGGCTTCAAATGTCTTATTTTATGACGTCGCTCCCTAAAATAAGAGGAAACGAATAGATTTGTTATCTGCAACTGTGCAGAAGTCCAGGCTTTAAATAGAATGAACAAACATGCAAAAACGCTTTGAGTAAAGCTTTCGAACTGTTCCGTTTCAAACTGTAAATGTAGAGTAATCCCATCAATAGAGGAGTCTTATTATTTATGAGAGCGTAAACTAAGGCCCTCTGAAAAGCTGGTATTTGCTGACCTCCAGAGGTTTAGCTTCTCTGAACTTCAGTGACGGACCTGGTGAAATCATTTGTGGGTGTGGTTACACCACAACAAACTACACCCACAGTGAGGCTGCATGTGGTCAGAGGTGAAACACAACCAGATCATTTCACCAGCCTGGTGTTCAGTTACTTTCTAAAGCGTTGCTGAAGTTTCCTAATTGGAAAGTTGTGGTTTTTTTTTGCTTTAAATAGGAATTCTCTCAGGCTATCCACAGCTCCCCCCCTGTACCTGCTGACAGTCGCTGGAGGCAAAAAGAAACCGGAACTGATGAGTCACATTATAGGAGACGAACTTATCACACCCAGCAAAATGCACTGGATGCAGACATGAAACAGTGCGTCTGTGAGTTCTCTTCCAGTTAATGTAAGCAGTGAACGCGCTCGGGATTAAATTAGATGAGCAGGCGACCTCACTTACTCACAGAAATGTAATTTAGCGGTTAGTCCGTTTAGAGCCTGACTGACTAGTGTGTCTGTCTGTGAGTAGATATGAATGTATCATAAATGTTTTATACGTGGATTTGTATCTGTTTGGATTTCTTAAATACTTACTGCATGTAAGATCAAGTTTATATTTTGGAAATAAGTTTAAAAAGATGAATAAAGAACAGACTATTTTGACTTAAAGTCTTGAGTCTGGACTTTGTATTCTACTTTCCACGCGCCGCCCTCTGTGCACACTACTGTGCACGTAAGAAGATTAGGAGATTATGTTCTGAAATTCATTTTTTCAAACCATAATGCGCCTTTTGTTTGTCCCGGTGTGCTTCGTGCTTCAGATGGCCGTGCACTTCATGCTGAGGCGTACAGGAGGAATATTGACTTTTCACTGCGTTCGAGTGACTTGAAATACAACCCGTCCATGTGTACAACCAGTGAAAGAAGCCTGTTGTGTTTTTACAAATAGGTTTCAGCTTGAAGTCCTGAAGCAGTCCTCTGCTCAGACTCTGAAACAACAAAGCAACACTCACAACCCCCTCAAGACTTAACCCAGTTCAGCCCCCGGTTACTCAAACAAATCTTTCCACAGCAGCTTTATCCACATCCAGAGCGCAGCAGCGTTAACAGCCGAACAACATGCTCTGTTTTACCTTCCCTCTAACCTCCTCCACCTGTTTGTTTTCCTCTTCCTCCTCCTCCTTCAGTCCAAGAGGCGTTCTCAGGGTCTTTCCCTCGACACCATCTACCACTGTCTGAACCGGACGGTGCTCTACCAGCTCTGCCGACCCCACAAGACGGTCGCTCAGCAGGTGGCCCTGCTGGACGCCCTGCGGGTCCTGACCGTCAACCGCAACCTGGTGCTCGGGCCGGGCAACCACGACCAGGACTTTGTGGCCTGCCTGGCTCACTGCTTCATCTGCCTGCACAGTGGGAGGTGAGGTCACATGAGGCTTTGTCTGAGGTGGCAGGTTTAAAAATCAAGACCAGTGTTTACTTGTATTTGTCTGCATCATGTAGCAGGAAATAGGCTCTTTTGAAGCTCTTGTTTTGTTGGATACGAATCTGTCCAAGTGTCACACGTGGTTGTGTGAAGCATGTATGATTCATAACAGACTCATCACACGGCTTCTGTACATTTAATCAGTGTGGAGGATGAGAAGAAGGATGTGCAAACATGTTTCTGACCAAGACGCAAATCATCGTCTGTTTTCTGGTGAAATCATGTCTGACTGAAGGACATTGAATGAAACGGGGAGAAAGAGAAGAGATAGTCACACTGCCAAGTGTTTCTTTGGAGGGGGGGGGGGGGGTTTAGAGAACCACATCGCTTCACTTTGCAATCGGATGAAATAATAAGGAAATACTCATGACTTCAGTCCAGAATCACCATATTATCACAATCATCCAGACTTTAGGAGACAGAAGAAAACATTACGATTTCATCTTTTTTTTCTCCTAAATTTACCTCTTGAATCTCAAAGCATATCCAAGATGTTCTTCTTGTGAATGAATGACTTCAATCTTGAAATATCTCTATATATATTTGTTGTTATTGTTTTACCTACGATGGTCCTCATACACTGCTGTAGTGATGTTTTCCTCTTGGACGCTATTGTAGTGAGATTGTTGCAGCTCTTTTTTTTTTTAATTTTTGTGCTTTTGTGTCCTGCAAGAAGTACTGATCATTTCCAAAAGTGCAGCAGGTGGGGAGAGAGTTTCCTACCATGCTGGGGACACAATATGCTGTAACACGACACACTGTTCCCTCAGGTGTCTACGTGACAGGTTGTCTCTAAGTCGCTGTGTGTGTGTGTCTCTCTGCAGCAGCGTGGAGGGCTTCGGTCTGGAGGCGGAGGCCAGGATGACAACCTGGCATGTCATGATGCCCACGGAGAACGAGGCTGACGCTACGCACAGCCACGACGTCAGCGAGGGTGTGTGTGTGTGTGTGTGTGTGTGTGTGTGTGTGTGTGTGTGTGTGTCCAGTTTTTCATCCTAACCATCTAAACATATCCTCTGTTGAGAGACACATTTTAGAAAGAAAAGAAATAACTCTTCTAATATATATTCAGATAAAATATTAATTTGAAGATGTGGGCGCCAAAAAAATGTGAATCCATTTATTGCTCTTGGATACATCTATCATTTGATACACCTTCATTTGGGGATTGTCTTCCAATTTTTCTTCAGGATTCAGGAAGGTCACTGGTGTTGGATGGGCTAATTTCAATAATTTGTTATTTTAAACAAATCCCATTTGACATGGCATGAATATAGTGTTGCTACATTATTTTCTGAGAGCAGGAAGTTTCAGCGAGTTTCGCTCTGATATTCTCTCCTAATAGACGTTTGATTACATCGTCTGCTGCGCTAAACAAAGTGAACCCTAACCGAACCAAATGAGAAAAAATGTTGCAATGAAAGTGTTTGTGTGTGTTTGCAAACTGGGAGGCGGAAAGATTGTAATGAATATGTCGGGTAATGTATATACAGGTGTTTCTGCAGTTAAAATTGAATTGAATGAGAAACAAAACGGCAGACGGACTCGGTCGTGACAGAATCCGTTGCTGTGCTCCCGCTGCAGGGCGACAGCTGCTGCTGAAGGCGGTGAACCGGGTGTGGACGGAGCTGATGCACAGCAAGCGTCAGATGCTGGAGGACATATTCAAAGTGTCCCTGCCCTGCAACGACAGGGGCCACGTGGACATCGCCACTGCCCGGCCCGCCCTGGAGGAGCCGGCGCTGAAGAGCTGGCAGAACCACCTGGGTGAGGATACACTCTCTCACACACACACACACACACACACACACACTCACACACACACCGAGATATGAACCACGCACACATGAGCTGAGCCATGTCTGTGTTGTGGCTCCTCCAGGTTTACAGACCTAGATCAGCTATTTGGGAGCTCCTCTTACTGAAGCCCCGCCAATCAGCCTCATCACTGCTGATGTGCTCTCTCTGTCTCTTGCTCACTCCGTCGGTGTCGTACTTCTGCGGTGAATTACCACCAACTTCCTGCCAAAGTTGTGACCCGGTCTGCCGAACCAGACACTTTGGCAGCTCACCAGATGTTGTTAGAACTGTTCTCTAAATTTGCAAACATCTGGTCAAGTAATAACAGAAGAGTTTCTATATTCTAGGTACTATTTTTTGGGGAGGCTAGACAGAAATCTAGAGGACAAATATTGCAAAACCTGTTTGTTTTGATATGTTTGTGTACGTTGATCATTCAGCATGATGTATTGATTTTGTATTAGCTCTGCTTTATCTCGCTTTAAAGTGAGTGTGATACATTTTTAAATTCACTCACGTGACCGGTTCTTTTTCTTTTTTCTGCTGTGCTCAGTCCATGAGAAGAAGTGCATCAGTCGCGGTGAGGCGGTGGCGCCGGCGACCCAGTCCAAACTGTCCAGAGTCAGCAGCGGCTTCGGCCTCTCCAAGCTGACGGGCGTCCGCCGCAACAAGAGGGAGAACAGCATGAACAAGAACAGCTTGTCGGCTCAGGTACACACACTAAAGCAGCTGACGCAGCATATAAAGTGTGTGTTTAGTCCGCTTTCATACAATCTCGTGTTTCTGATTAACAGGAGACTTTCCAGTGGATGTTCACACACATCGCTGTGGTTCGAGACCTGGTGGCCATGCAGTACAAAGAATATCAGGAGGTACTGCGCTTCCATCGTTACTCCAGGGATAGAATTAAAGTTACTGTGAGGAACTTTGAACTGATTATGAGACCGTCTCAGTTTAGTCCTGATCTTCTGTAAGACCTCCATCAGGAAACGAGACCATCAGAGAGAAGATGGTCTGTTTTTATGTAGTTATTTGATTTGTGGTACCGGGTCGGATTCTGGTGAAACCAGATGAAATCATGCAGGTTCACCAGAAACTCCTTCAGCTCAGACTCCAGCGGGGCCTCCAGCAGAGACCGGTCCACCGTGGACAGACCCAGATCCGGCTTCACCTGCAGCCTTGGACCTGCAGTCGGAGCTCCGGAGGGAGGAGGAGAGCTCAGCTCCCGGCAGCAGCAGCGCCTCCTCCTCCTCCTCCTCCAGGAGCAGAGCTTCTCCTCTCTGGGAGCCAACACAACACCACGCTGCTGGAGACCCAGGACGTATTACTGGACCCGCTGGAGGGAAGGGAGGCACGGGAGAACCAGAACCAGGACTGAGAGGAGCAGACTGTCAGACCCTGCTGCAGTAAAATGAGAGGTTTTCTAAAGAGACTCTGGTGCCAAAATCAACACAAAATGAAAGTTCCTCATAGTAACTTTAAGCAGATATAACTTATTTAATGTTTCCAAACACAGTAGCTGCACAAAGAAAATCAAGCTGGTTTATTGATGATGATTTATTCCAGCACACTTGCACAGACAAACCAACAGATTAACTAACATACATTTTCACCAGCTGGTCTGCTGGTCTAGCAGTTGTGACTGCACGTATAACTTATAGCAGCGTTTTTAAAGCGACTCTTCCGTCCCTTTACCTCCCAGCGACAGCAGAACGCCCTCAAGTACGTGACAGAGGATTGGGCGTCCATCGAATACGAGCTGCTCCGTGAACGGGGCCTCTGGGGCCCGCCCATCGGTTCCCACCTGGACAAGTTTGTGCTGGAGATGACGGAGGGGCCGTGCCGGATGAGAAAGAAGATGGTCCGCAACGACATGTTCTACATCCACTACCCATACATCCCCGAGTTGGAGCCAAACACCAACTCAGCACAGGTATATTCAGCTTTAGATCCCATTAATGCATCTCATGATCCCCTACAGTATTTTGAAAGGATGTCTTTATCTTTATCTTCACCTTCTAAATATGTTTAGAAGGTGATTTTGTGAGTGTTTTTTCTATCTACATTTTAGTTATTTAGCTGATGCCCTCATTCAAAATAACTTGCAGTAAGAGTGGAAAAAGCCTCCAATCCTTGATCACCAACTTTATCAGCAACCGATAAATAGACAGTAAATCCCTAAAATGGTGCAAGAATTACAGTCTCAGGGCCAGGACAGTCTGTGTGGCACCACCATAATCCTGTTAGTTAGTAACAGACGTAACCGCAGAAGAGAGTTTGAAGTGATTTTTAAAATGAAAACCAGACTATTAGAGCAAAGTAAAGGAAGATATGTGAAGTAATGGATATACTGGCGTTTGTAGTTAAAACGCTTATTAGCCCCAAAAATACATCTTTTTTTTAGTTTCCTCCATAACTTTTGAAGAGTAGTGACCTCTCCTTGAAACAGAGCTGCTCTTGGTGGAGCTCGTCGGTGTCGTGTGAGGACACCAGCAGCCGGCGGCTCACTTTTCTGGCACCGCCAACATATTTAGCTTTGTCTGCTCCACAAATCTGTCCGCCGACGGGTTCCTCCCATCACTCCACTGGTCGGGAAGATACAAAGAGAGAGCTCTCACCCACAGGGATATGTCCTGTTTTAGGTTTGTGTTGATGTCGGCCTTCTTAAAAAACAATTCATCATCAGAGTTCCACATTTGAAGCGATTCGCTGGATGTTTTTTTACTATAAGAATATCTAGAATACCAGCAATGCAAGCAGCCAAAAGTGATTAAAGAAAAGTTGAAATCATTATTATCGTATTTAGAATAATTCAATAAGCTTTGAAGCTTCATTCATAACTTTGACATTCAAATTCTAAGCGTTTGCTTTGTTTTTTTGTTCGGTATTTCTGCTCAGTTGCAGAGAAAAGATCAGACGCCACTAACATTATTAGTGTTATAATATTTGTAGACTGTGATTCAGACGTTTCCAATAACTTCAGAGTGTTGCAAAGTTCCCAACACGGTTTTATCAAACTAAATGTTCTGCTTAAATCCTTAATTGTTGGTGTTTAGCCTTTGAAAAACATTTTCACTGCAGTCAAAAAGCTATTTGCTCTACACGCACGCCCCCCCCCACAAGTAAGTTAATATAATTAAATAAAGTTTATTTAACAGAAAAAGACTGAAACCTGCTCAGTAGACTTGGATGTACCAGCCGTGAGTTCATGTAATTCAGCAGAAAGCCTTCGAGGGAGAAGTTTCTGGCTCATCAAAGTATAATTAACTCCAAAGTCCTCGAGGCTTAATCACAACGCATCATTTAAACATGCTCGGGGAGCGGAGTCGCAGGCCGTGTGACAAAGTCACGCACTTGTGCCTTGTGTACAACTTGTGTATTTCAGCTCAGCAGTTGTGGCTTTCCTGCCTTGCTCAAAGTGGCAATACTTTCTGGATTTATGGAAAGTTGAGAATCATGGTACCAGATGGTGTTGCCCCCGGCCTTTGCAGCGTTAATCTCCACAGCACAGACTTTCGTCATGGATCTTAAGTAACATTTAAAACCTCTTCCTCATCTTCCTCCCCCTCCTCCTCTTCACGTTCTCCAGCCCTCTCCTCCCCCTCTGGTGCCCCTGGTACCCTCGACCCTGGCTTGGGTCCTTGACCGAGCTCGGGTACCTCCCTGGAGCCCACGGGATAAAAAATAAGCGAGCTCCGGTTGATGCATGATGTGACTGCATGATAGTAACACAAACACGCTTTCAGAATGAGAACGGTATTAATTAGGAAGCTGTGCTCTCCGTGAGTCGTCCGTTTCGAAGCCTTTTTCTGCAGCGCTTGCAGTAAGAACTCTCCTGTTTGAAACTCACCCTGCGTGACGTGTGCTGGCAGGAGGAGAGGTGTTTGTTGTGAATTGGGTTTTGCTTTGCTACGTTTGAGGAACAGGAAATCTCTCTTGTGCTGTTGTGGACGTGTTTGGGTTTTATGTGCATTTGCATGTGAACGTGTTAATACACAGGCAAACCTTCTGGAATATTATTATTATTATTAGGACTGTTTAATGGCAAGAAACCGGAGATGCATATAATGATTCAGGGGTTAAGATTCATTATATTGTGATACTGTAAGCAAGGTAAAATAAGTTGTTCTTTTGGTAAACAAAAGAGTTGTACATATACATGCAATATTCAGAGATTGTGTATATATATGTTTTTGTATATGCAGAAGCCTCTCCGTTACCGGCGAGCCATCAGCTACGACAGTAAGGAGTACTACATGCGGTTGCTGTCTGGAAACCCCGGCATGTACCAGCACTCTGTGGAGCACAACACCGAAGGAGAGACCACACAGCATGAGCCCGAGCACGGAGAGGACACCATCGCAAGAGTCAAAGGTACAGACGCAACACCGGGGAACACTTTCTTCTTACTCAGGTTCTTGGTTTGGTTTTGTATTCTATCTTCTTGGCGTACCGTGTCTGACGCTCCGCTGTGCTCTCCAGGCCTGGTGAAGGCTCCTCTGAAGAGGTCTCGGTCCACAGCGGACGGGGCGGACGAGGACAGTCAGGAGCAGCTCCAGGAGCAGCTGCTGGAGTCGGGAGGCCCCGAGGAGGAGCAGAGGACCGACAACACGTCTCTGCTGCGCCTCCTGGAGGAGGGAGAGAAGGTCAGCGAGTCCGGACTGTTGAGTCACAACGTTTCCTCAGGGCTCAAATCAGTCCCCAGTGTTATTGAGAGATAGTTTATTGTTTATTGAGAGAACGGCACAAACTCACGAAGGATGAACACATCGCTTACATGGCAAACTGCAATATTCTTCATATGTGTTCTTAAGTGACACCTTTCAGTTGCATTTATTAACCTTGAAGACCTCGGTCCTCAGAAACATACTGTAAGAAAGTTAGCCGATCAAGCCTTGTATTTAGCAACAGGCCTTTACACTTAAAGGGTCAATTGGATGTTTAGTAGTGTGGTTGTAGTACTTGTAGTACAGTGTATTACTACAGTAGATGGCGTTTAGAGAAACAAACAGTAGTACCAGCGAAGGAGCGGAGCAATGTGCTGCTGTGGATGTATTTTAGACTCCTAAATGAATCAACATCAGGTTAAGTGTTGACTGTATTTAGAATGTGTTCACCTCTTTACCTTGCTGTCAGACAGAAACCTTTATGCTCACTGAAGTTCCACCAGACTCCTTTCACAAAAACAGTCATTTTACCTCACGGAACACAGGAGTTATTCTTTCTCTTAACTTTATGTAAGTAATGCTCTCTTGTTCCTCACATTCACCGTTCCAGATCCAGCACATGTACCGCTGTGCCCGGGTTCAGGGTCTGGACACCGGCGAGGGTCTGCTGCTGTTCGGGAAGGAGCACTTCTACGTCATCGACGGCTACACCATGACCGTCTCCAGGGAGATCAGGGACATCGACACGCTGCCCCCCAAGTAGGTCCAGGCTTCTGTATCCCTCACGGCGCTTCACGGTCTGGACACCTGTAGGAGAATCACCACTTTCACACCGGCGCTGCATTATTCATCCTGAGGCTGACACAGTTACCGTTCTTTCCCTCCCCGAATAACAAAATGACATCATGCCTCGGGGCGCTGCAGTGGGAGTTTCTGCTGCTGGAATGATGTCATGCTGCTGATGGAGCATGCGTCGTGAAACTCGGCAGAGATGTGACTTATTTATCTTTTTTTAGGAAACTCGCGCCGTCTGTTCCTTTTGAGACACAACGTGAAAACAGCTGCAGCTCTGATTTCATTGTGTCACCCTCAGGTGTTAAACTGAGTCTAAACATGGCGTCCACGGGGCCTGGAATGAGCATTCAATGAGCTTATAAGTCAATTCATAATAATAGCAATGATGGACATTTTTAATAATCAATTAATTGTCATTCATCTGATAAAAACACAAAGCTTCTTATAATTACAATGGTGTGAGGAAATAAACCCTTTTTGTTGACACAAGTGCTTTCTAGGTGAAACGTAATGTCGGACTGAGTCGACAGCTGATAAAGTCCTCGCTCTCTGTCGTCCGTGTCCAGCTTGCATGAGGCCATCATCCCCAGAGGAGCGAGACAAGGACAGAGTCAGCTGAAGAGAACATGCAGCATCTTCGCCTACGAGGACATCAAGGAAGTGCACAAGAGACGCTACCTGCTGCAGGTCAGCATGCACATATCACACACTATATATACACACACACACACACACAAGCAGCCGAACCAATACACACAATACACATCTTTGAGTTAGACATTTAGAAGACATTTATTCTGAGTAGCTTTCATGGTATTTTTTCAACATGGACACTACTTTCCCATGTTTTTGTGTCCTAGTGACTAATAGGTAAACAACAGTTATTGACATTGGTTTAGTATTGAGGGAGAACACTGCAGACGGCAGCAGCTGAACAAATTTGTTGTTCCCATTAGTCACTTAGACACAAGAACATGGAAATAGAGTCCAGGTTGAAAGGTACCAAAGTTACCTTTTGCTTTCCTGAGTGTTTAACTCACCACCTTGTTTTTCGATCATCAAATGTCGTGTATGTCATCGTCTTTCAGCCCATGGCGGTGGAAGTCTTCTCAGCAGATGGGAGGAACTACTTGTTGGCCTTCCAGAAAGGAGTCCGCAACAAAGTTTACCAACGGTACTGAATACAAACAGAAACACGGAGGCTGGACTGCTGCTCCATTTCAGCAGTCTACTGAAGTCTAAATGTATTGAAGCTAAATAAATCAAAACAAGTTCATTTTATAGAAAAAGACTGAATTCTTTTAGCTTTGTTTTTTTGGTACTGCCCTGAGAGCAGATTATAAAGCTCTCATAAAGCATCATGTCACTACAATAACCACCAGTTGTATATCAAGTTACACTGGTTTATACGCAGCGTAAAGGAAGTCAGATGGTGATCATCGTTCTTGTGAAGATCCGGACTTCAGGGTCAAGCGGGGAGGGTTCGGTGGGGTGTCTTTCAAAACAACAGTGATAATGCAGCTGTCCTAAGCTTTTCATCTTCTATTATATGCTGCAGACAAATGCCGGGGGGAAATTGATTTAAAAATTTATAAAATTGCGGCTGTAAACAAAATGAAAGTCAGATAGAAGTGATAGAATTTCTTATTTTTTGTTTTGTTATTAATTCCTTGCAGGTTCTTGGCGGTGGTGCCTTCACTGGCTGACAGCTCGGAGTCGGTTTCAGGCCAGAGGCCCAACACCAGCGTGGAACAAGGGTAACACCTCCTCTACGCTTCATCCAGCACAGACATACACGTTGTTAATGTTTCACCATTTCAGGAGGTTGTGAGTTGATTTATGGGATCTGCGGATACATATTTAGTAACTTGTTTTTAATCTATGTGTTAATTGTATCTCCCTAAATACTGGATGTGGGCTGCTGTAGTGATTAATCCATGAATGAAAAGAGAGAATACTGATGTGTTTTACTAAACCTCCTCTCCGTCCTGGTGTTGGTCAGATCTGGACTCCTCAGCACGCTGGTCGGGGAAAAGTCAGTGACTCAGAGATGGGAGGTGAGAACCTCGACTCACTGCTCTTCGGTTAAACAACTCAAAAGTGTAGAAGTGTCATTCTTTAAGCTCCTGTGAGCCTCACTGATGTGTTTGTTCCATCCGTGTTCCAGAGAGGAGAGATCAGTAACTTCCAGTACCTGATGCACCTGAACACGTTGGCAGGGCGGTCCTACAACGACCTGATGCAGTACCCCGTCTTCCCCTGGATCCTGGCCGACTTCGACTCAGAGGTGACTGCAGGTTTCGAGACGACACGATAAGAACACGTGTCTGTTCCCTGTAACAATCCGGGTTCTGTAACCTTTGTTCACCAGGAACTGGACCTGAGCAACCCCAAGACGTTCCGTAACCTCGCCAAGCCGATGGGCGCTCAGACCGACGACAGACTGACGCAGTACAAGAAGAGGTACAAGGACTGGGAGGACCCCACTGGTAAGATCTCATTTAACAAGATTGAGTCTTTTATTCTTATGTCAAGTTAGAATAGACACAGAGTTAAGAAAAAACGATCCAGCTAACCGGCTAGCTCTTACTTCATGCCAGTCACATTTGACTGCATTGTACATGTTGTCATAGGCCAGTTTAAGTGGACGTGTTGTTTTCTGTCCCACCAGGTGAAACCCCAGCGTACCACTACGGCACCCACTACTCATCCGCCATGATCGTAGCCTCTTATCTGGTCCGGATGGAGCCCTTTACACAGATCTTCCTCAGACTTCAGGTTTGATTCTGAAATGTCATACAAACCAGAAGAGTGTATTTTTAGACCGAAAATATTTTTTAGAAGTTGCAGACATTAAGCACAACGGAGGCTCTGAGAGGCAAGTGAGGAATGAAATGCTCGTGATCTGATTAAAATAGTTTTCTCTCCTGTGTTTATGACTTAAAAACAAGTAAAACAATATATGTTTTGCCAGAATAATCGTTTTAAGTTCTTTCAAAATAAAATCCTCTACGAAACAGGTGGAGAGAAAAGAACTGCTGACGCTCTGAAGTGTCTGGACTTAATGTGAAACTGTGCGTCTGTGTGGTTCCCAGGGAGGTCACTTCGACCTGGCTGACAGGATGTTCCACAGTGTGCGTGAAGCCTGGCTCTCTGCCTCCAAACACAACATGGCCGACGTCAAGGAGCTCATCCCTGAGTTCTTCTACCTGCCCGAGTTCTTGCTCAACGCCAACAACTTCGACCTGGGTCAGTATCGGTGAAGCACGAGTCAATCTGAGTGCATGGATATTAATATAATAAAATTAATGTTCTGTCTGCCCTCTGTTGTTGGATCTACCAGGCGCCAAGCAGAATGGCATCAAGCTGGGCGACGTCATCCTGCCACCTTGGGCCAAGGGCGACCCCCGGGAGTTCATCAGAGTCCACCGAGATGTAAGGATTGTGAACCCTCTTGTGACATTTTAGGTCTGATTGTCAGTGAGTACACGTTCACCTCTTGTCTGGCTGCAGGCGTTGGAGTGCGACTACGTGTCGGCCCACCTCCACGAATGGATCGACCTGATCTTCGGGTACAAGCAGCAGGGTCCGCCGGCCGTGGAGGCGGTCAACGTCTTCCACCACCTGTTCTACGAGGGCCAGGTGGACATCTACAACATCAACGACCCGCTCAAAGAGACGGCCACCATCGGCTTCATCAACAACTTCGGGCAAATCCCCAAACAGGTCAGATACTGGCTGCTGATCACCGCCACTGATGCTGATATCTTAAATCTGCAGGCTAGTTTAAAGGGATAGTCCGGATTTGTTGAAGTGGGGTTGAACACCACTAGTTTAGAAAGACGGGGAGGAGTACCAGCACGGGAGCAAAGCAATGTACCGCTGTGGACGGGAGCAGAAGCTGAATGTTTTCAGACACCTTAAAAGACTCTATATCAGTTCACTGCCTTACCTTACCTCCAGACAGCCCTGAGGCCGTTATCTACACTCTCAAAGCTGCCAGACTCCTTTGACCACCGCTGCATCCATCGGGTAGATTGCTCGTGTTCTTGTGTGAATTTGGTGGATCCGAATTGACCCTTTAAAACACAAATGAACACAAACAATGGAGGCAGCGGTAGACCAGCAACTCTCGTGTTCAGCGAGATACAATTGCTGTTTTTGTCAACGGAGTTCTGTCTTTCTCTAAATCATCTACCGTCGGCCTCTACTTCATCAACCAAAATGCTTCTTCGTGACATTTTGCCAAATGAAGACCTGGTTGTCTCCAAACAAAGTTTCTGGAGCTTTAATCCAGTCTGAGGATGCTCTGCATTTCTCACTTAGTGGACGAACTTACCTTCCACAGCCCAAATGTTTTAGCATCCGGCTATTGGTCGATGTCAAAGTCCTTTTCTATCCTCGCTGACTGTTGATGTGTTTGTGTGTCTCAGCTGTTTAAGAAGCCCCATCCTCCTAAACGGGTACGCGGCAAAGCCAACGGTGACGTAGCGAGCGTTCCTCCGAGCTCCAACGGCGACAAGATCTTCTTCCATCACCTGGACAATCTCAGACCTTCTCTAGCACCAGTTAAAGGTACAAGTACACACACTTACTCTCTGTCTTTTGTGTTAAATCCATTGCAGTCTTAAGTACCAGTTAAGCCCCAACCATGTACTCTGTACATTAGACAGTGCGAGGCTCCCTTTAGACTCACATATTTCTTTGTGTCTCCAGAGCTGAAGGAGCCCGTGGGACAGATCATGTGCACCGACAAGGGCATACTTGCGGTGGAGCAAAACAAGGTTCTGGTTCCCCCCACCTGGAGCAAGACCTTCGCCTGGGGCTACGCCGACCTCAGCTGCCGTCTGGCTAACTACGAATCTGACAAGGTAATCAAAACAGAAACGCATATATAGTGTTGTCGATTTTAAGAGAGACTAAAACATGGACTCCTGTAGGTTTCCTTCATTATTTCACCTTGAAGTTGAGAAGTGAATGTGAGAAATGATTACAGACAATGTTTCCCCCTGCTGGTGCTTGAATAAAGATGCACTTGCAGTTTTCAAATCAGGGAATGGAACTCATTCAGTCTCATTTTACCTTTCATTTAAAAAAATTCTGAGAAATGTAGATTTACACATCTGCAGCTTTGTATTAGACGTTAACTTTGAACACAGAGATCTCTGGTTCTCCTGATAGTGGAGTTATTCCCGTTCTCTCACTACAATTGTAAATCTTCTCAGGACTTCCAAAAGCCTGAATACAGTAGAGAAGCCACTTGTGTGTGCGTTAAAGAAGAGAAGTGAAAGAGTTGTTGAGATGCAGACGAAGTTAATGTCCTAAACTTTCATTTCTGCACCTCTGACACCAACCTCCAACCCTGGATGTTGCCTCAGGCGTTGGTGGTGTACGAGTGTCTGTCAGAGTGGGGTCAGATCCTCTGTGCCATCTGTCCGAACCTGAAGCTGGTCATCACCGGCGGCACCAACAGCACCGCCATCTGCGTGTGGGAGACGGGAACCTCCAAGGAGAGGGCCAAGTCCCTGACGCTCAAACAGGTAAACAAAAGAAAACAAGGTATGCCAGCTTTAAAGTATTGAACATAGTTGAGTCCGATCTCGTGTCCTTGTCCCCGGCTGTTTCCTCGTAGGCGTTACTGGGCCACACGGACGCCGTGACGTGTCTGACGGCGTCGGCGGCGTACCACATCGTTGTCAGCGGCTCGCGGGATCGAACCTGCATCATCTGGGACCTCAACAAGCTTTCCTTCGTCACGCAGCTCAGGGGACACCGAGCGCCGGTCTCCGCTCTGTGCATCAACGAGCTGACGGTGAGCTCAGAGTTCTAATATGAGCTGAGGAGTCACAGAAAGCGTAACGTCTGATTAACAACAGCTGTTGAGCTGATAAACAAACATGTGGTGTGTGTGTGTGCAGGGGGACATTGTGTCCTGTGCAGGAACCTACATCCACGTGTGGAGCATCAACGGCAGCCCCATCGCCAGCGCCAACACCTTCACGGGACGCAGCCAGCAGATCCTGTGCTGCTGCGTGTCGGAGATGAACGAGTGGGACACGCAGAACGTCATCGTCACCGGGCACTCGGACGGCGTGGTCAGGGTAACTGTGCCTTCTTAAATCTTACAGAATATCAGCTTTATCACACTGACCTGTGTGTAGGTCTTCTTAAAAACAAGAATATAACAATTAAGAGTTCTGAACAGCACCGGAGGATCTTTGTTGTTATCACTATTCACACGCGTGTCACACCGAAACAACCGGTTCAGAGACGGTTCAGAGACGGTCTCGGGCCGTTTCCCAGAGAACCCTAGTGCGGTTCGACTGCAGTGAGAACATGATCCGGCCCAAATGCAGGAAGTGAAGCAAATGTGCAGGTATTTGTCTGGATGGACACAAGTTACTGTGAGAACATACAGAAGATGCTAAATAAAGTCCACAGAAATAGTGACGATTATTAAGTGATTAGAGATAAACAGTAGATCAGTGCAGAGTTTTTTTAGTTCGGTCCACTTTAACCAAACTAAATAGAAAACAAACCAAGAGACTGTGGCTTGTAAAAGCGCCCTTAGTTTAACCAAACTATGTCTTTATATATTTCTTGTAGTTTTGGAGAATGGAGTTCCTCCAAGTCCCAGAAACCCCTGCTCCAGAGCCGGTAGAGCCAGATGTGCCTGAATGCTGTGGTGAGGAGAAGATCGGTGAGTCCTGATGGGAGAAAATAAATAAACCGATTAGAAGCTTCTGCATGAAGTGACGGTTAAACTGATGTTTCTGTCCAGTGATACAGTGACATGTCCCAAAACAAACTGTGTATATTTTATTTAAGTATTTGCATAATAAACTCACTATGAAAATGTAAAACAAAGTTTTTGTTGGCGTCACAGAGGGCGGCGAGAATCACAACGGCGATGAGGACAGCAGCGAGTCGGACGGAGACGAGCCCAGTCTGAGTCAGGAGCCCAAAGCTCCACGCAACCCGTCGACGGGTGGAGGCAGCCAACCGGGCAGCGCCGTCCACAGACCCAGAGGTACGCAAGCAAGCGCTCCTCTCACCAGCACGGACGGTCTGTGGTTGAGCTGAGTGCACTGCTCACAGTAAATACACCGAGCAGCAAATAATACGCAGAAACGACTGAAAAACACAGAAGCGGACACATTTAACTCGTCATGTTTTTGAATCTCAGCTGAATTCGTCCGACATTATACAAACTTTCACTTAAACAATCATTTATTTGCTTTGTTTTTTAACTGTCATCGCTTTTACTGTTTGTTTTTTACCATGTAAAGTGCCTTTAAAGCACAATATATTAATATTACATCACTTTCTGTTAATTTCCATGTGTCTTGTACATAGAAATAGAATAGGAATAAAACAGACATTGATTCTGTTGTAATATCACTAATACAAAAGAAAATTCGGATTGTTGTTACGGTGACAACACACGCCCGTAAAGCTCCATCTGTCTAGTTATTTACCACATATTTTGTTTACTGAACCTCAACCCACGCTAACGTTCCCTCTCAGGTCCCTCGGCACGAACCGGAGCGTCGTGGTCGATGGACAGCAGCTCTGACGACTCCCACCGCTGGTCGGACACCCTCAGCATCGACGAGAAGGACGGCTTCGTGTTCGTCAACTACTCCGAGGGGCAAACTAAGGTCCCTCACCACCACCACCACCCTCACCACCACCACCACCCTCACCCGACTCACCCAGGCCAGGGCTCGGTGCCACAGCCCTCCACCATGGACGCACGGACGTACAACCAGCTCAGGGCCGGTGGGTGTCCAGTAATTGAACATGTTGTTGTTTTTTAGCTCTAAAGTCAGTGAAGGGACAAGGGTTCTCCTCTGATCAGAGACGAAAACAAAAACTTAAAAAATACGCTGATCACAGTGTTGACGTGTTTTATTTCTGTGGGTCCACAGGCTACAGATGGGAGCGCCAGCTGGTCTTCCGGAGCAAACTCACCATGCACACGGCGTTCGATCGCAAGGACAACGCTCAACCGGCCGAGATCACGTCGCTCGCCATCTCCAAGTAAGAGGGCAGCACGTCTGGCACCAGGCCGACAAAGACGAATTCTTTACTGTTGTAGATTTGTAATTGTTTTTATTCATGTGGAGAGCTTCTTCTACACTATCGAACACAAACATCTTCGAAAAGTCATTCTCCTCCTCTGTGACGCCGTCTGCTCAGGGACCACAGTAAGATCCTGGTGGGCGATGGTCGCGGTCGGGTCTTCAGCTGGTCAGTGAGCGACCAGCCGGGCCGTTCTGCGGCCGACCACTGGGTGAAGGACGAGGTGGTGGACAGCTGCTCCGCCTGCACGGTCCGATTCTCCCTCACCGAGCGGAGACACCACTGCAGGAACTGCGGCCAGCTCTTCTGCCAAAAGTGAGTCGTTTACAGCAGCACAGCACGCTTTCCTGCCTCTTTGCTCCTTCTACTAAAAATGTCACTAATTGAGGAAGCCACATGTGTCTGATCATTAATTCAGTCATTATTTTGAGAAAATGTCTAATTTCCTTTAGGTACCAAGTCATTTTCTGTCATGTTGTCGTTATTTTGAGGTACTGAGTTGTTCTTTTGAGGGACTGAGTCGTTATTTTGAGGTACTGAGTCGTTAT